GCGGCTCAGCTCTGGCTACGAGCTTGGGTCTCTGGGCCTGGGCCGATCTTAAGGGCTTAATTAGTCAGCAAATCGGAAACCAAAACGAAGCAGTCAACGACGAAGTCAACTCGCTTCATTTCCAGACAAGCCAACAATTCTCGCTCTCAATTCCAGTTTTTGTATTACACACACATACATACTTACATGTTCACATACATACATATATCGATGCGACTACCGACGGTAAAGAGCTCGAACTCGGCGAAGATCAACAATTATGTTATATGTCTGTATGGATGTTGTGTGTGTGTATGTTATGTGGGATGCAGGGCAGGCAAAAGAAGAGAACATTAGCTTGGGCATGACGAAGTTTTGATACCCTTTAAATTTACACTGCATTTAAATTTTTGTTTAGTTTATGTTTGTAAATTGTATTATTATTATTGTTATTATAATTACTATTAATATAACCATTATTATTACTATTATTATTATAATTATAATTATTAAATATTCTGCTTTGTTACAAACCTAACGCCAAATTATTACTATCATTATTATTATTTGTCTTATTATTATTATTATAATTATCATTCTATATTCTGCTTTGTACACACCCAACGCCAAATTCCAAATATTCCATCGCCAAACGTTGACAAGAACAGCAACATCAACTACATTTTGGCTTTCGTCGACTTCTTGCGAGGGCTTCTCAACTAGTATGACAAAAACACAAGAAACCACAACACGTAGCCTGTCTGCTACGACACCCCACTTTCTTATACGCTGAGAAAACACTTATACACAGCAAATCTTATACAACGCTGTTATGTGTTTGAGAAAATTTCGATTAACCCATGCCGGTAAACTTTCCGCCTTAGGCAGAGCGCTCGCTCAAGTCTAAAACCCATTCGATGCAATCGCTTGCTATCGTGACCTCTCTTTCCCCCTCCCAATCCAACTCGTTTTCGCTCTTTCGCTCACTAGCTGCCTGCCTGCCTGCCGTTTGCTCTGCTTGCTGCTTGCTTTCGTTATCCATCTCTTGCTGCTGTCGCTGGCTTTTGCTGATGAAGACATTACTATTTATAAGGCCAACCGCAGTGAATTTTTGCGTGTCCGTGTTTTTGGGATACGGCATCTCTCTTCGTCTGTCTCGCTGTCTTCACAGTCTGTTTTTATGTGCGTGTGCCTCCAGCAAGACACACACACACACTCACAGACACACAACACAAAGCAAAGACAAAGAGCTCTGTGTGAACGTCATCAGCTTCCCATTATTGTACATACATATATATTTTATGCTTACATGTGTCTCTGTATGTGTGCAAGGAGACTGTAGCATGTAGACTTTATGTATTTGGTGTGTGCACTGGAATGCATGTTCTTTACAAAAAGCCTAATGCTGGAATTCTTTGCTGTTTTTCCCTCTTCCCCATATTTCGTTGATCACGATTCCTAGACCAAACAAAAAGTCACAGAAATATTGGCAAATGGATCGTTTCAGTTGCAGTCACGAATCCGTTGTGAATTAATCTTTTGTTTCAATTTAAACTTAATCCTTAAAATATTTATATATTTACACACACAGATACATATTTTATTTTTGGGGCGTAGCTTCAGTTTTTAAAACAGCAAAAAACTTGTCATTCAACTGCCTTTTAAAATTTACTCTAAGTTTTTTTTGAGGCGTGGCCAAGCGAAAAGGTGGCAACAATACTGGAAGGATGCCAAATCTGGTCACTCTGGCAGCGAGTGTGTGAAAGTTTCAGGGTTTATTCGTTTTGCCGACGCTAAAGGAAATTGGGTTCTTATGGGGAAATTTGTTGATCGTTAACAGCTTTTTCATTAATTGCTCTAATTTACGCAAGATGGCGCTTATATAGTGTGGAATATTTAAATATTATTTACTTATTTAATGTCAACTAAAAAAATACAAAATGTAAGAAATGCGCTTAAATTTATTTAAAAATTGACTTTAATTTTACATTACAAATTAGAAAATACAAGCATTGTTTATGAAACTTAAAAGATTTATCAGTTATTATTAAAATAAATCAAGTAAATTATTTTTGATTCGCTTAAAGCCATTTATTTTAACACAAACACTGAAATAAATATGTCATTTAAACGTAAAAAGTATATATTTTTGAGTTTATTTATCCATTTTCATGTTGTAATTTCAATAATAATTAATTAAAAAGTGCTTCATTGAAATTGTATTTATTTATTAAAGAGCAGCATAAACAGTTTTTTCTTTAATTTGCAATTAATTTGTAGTTTCGTTCGTTGAAAATCACGTATTCAATTTAATGAACCAATATAGGAACTAAAATACATGCAGATATTATTAACCACAAGCTTACATATATATGTATGTATTTATCCATGTATATATTATGTATAAGTATGTATATAAATTGATACAGCAGATTTTCTTGGGGATTGGGTTTTTAAAACCGCAAGCTTTATATGCTGGCTTAAGTAGACCAATTAGTCTCACCATGAGAAATGTAACACCCAATAAGTAACTGTATATATATCTAAATATATATATAATATATAATTGATGTCAACTTATTAAATAGATTTATTTATTTAAAGTCGACTAAATTAGGTCGCAAAAATATTAAATCAGAAATAAAATGTAATAAATCAATTATATGAGAATTATTCTTAACACATCTGTGGGATATTTAAATTTGTATTTATTTATTTATTTAAATCAGTCTACAAAATCTGAACTCAAATGTAACAAATAATATATAAATTAAATATAAAATTGGCAGCTAAACAATCCAAGAATCCAAAGCAGAAAATATAGCTGAAAATAGGTAAAAGAGAAAGAGAGAGGATAAAAAATATAGGGGAAATTATGCGAATCTGTCTAATTAAATGAGTTTACCATACTTAAACCGATGGGACTTTTGCTAGAATTAATAACTCAATTAAAGGAAGAGGGTAAATAATTAAATTAACAAATAAATATTTAAATAAATAAATAAATAACAATCTTACTAAATAAATAAGTAAATCAATAAGTAGGTTAATAATTACATAAATAGCTAAATAAATAAATAAAGAAGTCAATAATTAAGTAAATGAATCAATAAACATGTCCATAAATTAATAAATAAATAACAACTACGAAAAAATTAGTAAAAAAGGCATTTGCAACTACAAAACAAAACTAGTAAGTACACTATTATTGTTATATTATTGTATAATATCCGCCTTCAGCTTGTGGCTTTTTTTTTTAATTATTGGCTAGGGTATTTAAGTGTTGGAAACCTGGAAACCTGGATACTGACAAGCTGACAAGTTGAGAAGCTGAGCATGTTTGTCTGCGGCTAATGAAGACATTCCAAACTTGATGGTTTGATGCCTGATGCTGATGCCTTATTCTCAATGCCTAATGAAGCACTGCACTATGAAACCAAGAGAGAGAGAGAGAGAGAGAGAGAAAGAGAGAGAGCGAGAGAGAGAAACACACAATAAATGACCAAAAACCGGTCTAATCGAACTTTATTTTCGAGTCGTTCGCAGCGTTATGGAAGATTGTAAATATGTATCTATATGTATATATATATATATATATATATATATATATAATTTTATGCTCGTCTACCTACCTAGCAAATAATGAAGTTAAATTGATTGACGTCTTATTTTGTAGACGCTGAAATAATTAAAAATGGAAACAAATATCGATAAGAAAATGAAGAACAATCGGTAATCGGAAAAAGCTGAAGCAATTAAAAATATGTATATGTTGGGAAACAAACAACAGACTTTATTTATTTAATTAGCAGGCAATAGGGTGTTGAATTTTTGGCTTTTTTATTTATTAACTTATATATTTATTTACTTATTTAATTATTTACTTATGCATAAATTTACTTATTTATTTACTTATTCTCTTATACATTTTTTCATATTCTAATTTATTTTGTAAGTTGTGTATTTATTTTTATTTATTTACGCATTTATTTATTTTTGTTTCGTATTTACCTATTTATTTATTTACTTATTTATATAATTAGATTTATTTACTCATTTCAGCTGGAATAGAGTGTTAAGCATTTTATTCTATCTCTCTCTCTTCTGTTCGACTCCTAACCGCGATTCGTTTGCTGCGCTGAACAGAAAGAGAGCACAAATGTATGTATGCCGTGTGTGTTTGTGTGTGTGAAGTGCTCTCTTTTCAAACATGGGTTCAATACTTTTGGCGTCGAACTAGTTATTTATGAGGCGAACAGCGCAGACAGTGCGGACGTACAAAAGGTAACAAAAAAAAACAGGTTGCATAGGAGGAGTTTAAGTTTTGGGAAAACAAAATGGCGAGTCTACGCATCACTTACATAAAACGGCATATTGGTTGCAAACCAAAAGGGGGCAATTCAAATTGTGATAAACGAAAACTTCCCTTTTTAAAAATGATCTAAAAAAAAACAGCAAACAAAAGTTGTGAATTGATTCTTAAATTTAGATAACTGATTTCCATTTAAATAACTAGATTATGCCATTATATATATTATATTTAATGTACTTATATATAAATTATTGTTACACTTACTGGGAAGCATTTATGAATTGCCTGTAAATAAAATTCTACACTAATGTTATAACAGCCAGCTTTATACGTGTGTGGGATCTGTTCCTTTAACGTACACACATACACATAAAAAATGCAGCTGTGAGCGGGAAATTTATGCCAATTGCCAAATAAATACGCATATTTATTCATTTATGTATGTAATTTATTTAGTTATATATATGTTTGATATGTTTATCTTTTCTCACATTTGAAAATATTAAAAATTAAAATAACTGAGATCTTTTGCCAGTGCTGTTCAAATTTTGAGGTGCATAGCAAGCAGCTTCTGCGAGACAGGCCCTACTGACAAGTTGCTACACAGCACCAAGAGAAAAAGCTTTTAAGCGGTTTGAAAGCTGAATCAAGACTGAAATTGAATTGAATTTTCTAGCTACATATTGAAAACCCTTTTTATGTAATCAAATCAAATCTAACAAAGTTTATTATTAAGTATTCGGTTATTTTACAAAAAATTGTGCTTATTTACAAAATCCAACTGATTACAGTAAACAGTTAACAGTGAAAAAGGTCAAAAGCTTAGTTCTTCTTCTTTTCGTCGGCATCCTTCTCCACTTCGGGATATTCCAGTTTGACGCCAGGTTCGCAGATGAATTTTGGACAGCAAAATGGGAATGGAGCCGTCTTATTTGTCTTCTCCGTGTCCAGCTTGCATTTGTCGTTGGCCAGCGACAAAGGCAACGGTCCGCAATCCTCCACGAGTTCCAGCAGTCTATTTAGAAAATTATATTTAGGTTACTTTCATGTTATCAATTAATTCTGTGATCGCTTTTACTTGGCAGGATTCTCCTCGTTTTGCACGCAAGTTGAACGGCCACAGAACGGAGTCAATTCCCACGTCTTTCCAGGCTCAACAGTTGCACAGCGAGTCGAGGCGAAACACATTCCAGGAAAATCTACGGGAATAAACGAGAGAATTTAAATTAGAAGAGCGAATAAATATTGACGTTATAAAAGTAATAGGTCATAAATAATAAATTATAAATAATAAGTAATAAGTATTAAATACGAAGTATAAATATTAGGTATAAGGTATTTGTAAGTGATAAATATAAGTATAATAATGAGTGAATTTACATTACAAAACTGATTTAGTAAGTATAAGTAGTAAGTCGAATTTTAATTACAAAACTGAATAAATAAGTATTGTAGTAGTATAAGTAAAAAAATATATGGGATAAGTATAAATAATGAATGCAGTACTAGTACAAGTAGTCCTTATCGAATTAAACATTGAAGTAGTACAAGTAATAATTATATAACTATAAGTATAAGTAACACGCACAAGTATAAGTTAGCTCTCATCTAATTACACTTCCATCTCTATCGACTTGCTGCCCAATCAATTTACGCTTCCACTCATCTGCTACAATATAAGAGTATTAAAACTGATTTTAATTTTAGCAAGCTATGGAATAGTGTAATAGAATAAATATTTAAATAAAATTAATTAATTAATTTAAAAAAAAACATTTTTAGAAATAATATTAATATATCTATATATAATTTACGTAACTTTTTAATTTCATTAATAAATTAAAAGGCTTGAACCAGTTTAATTGAAATAGCAGCTTTAGTTTCTCCACTTCTTCTCTGTTAAATGCACTCAACACACACACACACAAAATATAAGTACAAGTAGACAATGGCTGTCTGCTCATTTTCCTGTCTTGGAACTTACCCCACGCTACCCCATACCCCTCCCCCCCCTCCTCCTCACGCCCTCACCAACTTTTCCCCTGCCTGGCCTTGATGCAATTTGTAATTTGTATTTTTTATTGTGCTTTCAAAACGGCTCAAGCGAATCTAAATTAATCTTTGTACATTTATGTACATTTAGCAATATTCAAATTTGACTCAAAAGAGTTTTGAATGTAAAACCTGGCTTACATTTTTTTTTTTGCACGGCAACTGAAAGACTTCAACTTAAAAATATACACACACACATGCATACATAAATACGCTTAAGCCACGACTTCACTTTAATCCGTTAGGAAACACAAAAGCTCACTTGCCAAATGTATATGTATATTTATGTATGTAGATGTATGTATGTGTTTACAGACAATGACTCACCTCGGAGCACATCGGCAGGAATGAGACGTTTGTAAATTTTTATTTCACCATCTGTTTTCGGCTCCTCATTCGTAGCGGTTTTCTCAGCTGCCCAGCCAATGGATGGGACCAGCACCAAAGCCAAAGCGCAGCCAATTAGCAGTGAATTAAATGTATTCATTTTTAAACAAATAAAATATCAGTTTCAGTATTTATGACAGACAAATAACAACAACAAATGCAGACAACGGTTCCGAAACGAGTCTGCTTCAAGCGAAAGTAAACGCCGAATTGAAATAAGCCGACCAGTGTTACCACTATTTATAGGCGAAATCGCGCTTGCTGGATTTACAAGTTTTTTTTAACACTCCCTCCCACTGTCCCGCCTTGCCCACTATTTTGTTGTTGTCGCTAACAAAACCGAGCTTTGTCTGCTGCTGTTGACGGCGTATGTGTGTCACGTGTGTGTGTGTCTGTTTCTAAATGGAAACCTCACATATATATATATATTTTTTATATAAATGCTAACTACACACACACATACACTATATGTATGTCTGCTCATTCATATATAAATGCATTATGCATATATTGAATTTGATTAATTCTACACTTTATACATGCAGGAAGAGCATTAATTAAGCCGGTGCAGTTGGCATTTTTTTCCCCCAAATTTGGTGCGCGGCAACATTTGTCGCCATTTCAAGATGTAGTTTTCAATTTCATAACAAGCTGGATATTACGAAACAAATCTTGAAATAAGCACTATATAAATTAAATTTAACATATGTATTTGTATTTATACTTATTAGTATTTTATATATGCACATTAATTATTAAAACATAATTACACACCTCGGACCACTGTGCTAAAAACATTTAAATCAAATGGCGGATTTAGTGCAAGCACAGCCAGAAGTATCGATATATCGGTGTTTAAATGTAGTTTTGTCGTAATAAACTGCAAGTCAGTGGCAGTAATTTAGTTATCTTACTTATATTACTAGAAATGTCAGCTGTATCAATTACGAAATATATTCATATTTACTTAGCGTTCTAAAACAAAATACAACAAAGTATCCATCTTTTGCTGCCCAGCATCGGTTTTTGCTGCCACCTAGCGGCCGTTCAAAGTTGGGGCAAATAGGCTTGCCTAGCATCGGTTGTGGTAGCATTCACACAGGCGCCACCTAGCAGATTTCCACAGTTGCGAAAAATAAATCGCAATGCATTTATAAATTAAAAATTGTTAATTAAAAACAAATAAATAAAATTTGTTTAACAATATTTTATATGCATTTTTATAAATACTGTACATATTGTAAATATTTTACAACAATATGCTGCACAAATCTACAATGCCAATCGATAGTAGCACTGACAAGTAGCAAGCAACTATCGATATCCGAGTAGCTGCAATCGTAACACGTCAATTTTTAGTGACACAAAAAGTTGTGTGAAAAATTTGGTTCTTAATTGTTTTTTGGAGGAGCAGAAGACAAAAATATAAAAACATGGGCCTAACAATATCCAGCTTACTAACGCGACTCTTTGGGAAAAAACAAATGCGCATTCTAATGGGTAGGTTGCTAATTAAAGTGTGTGTTTAATTTCTGAAGCGGTGGCAATTTACATTTACCGCTAGCCACATGAGTACGTAATAAATAATATACAGCTCCAAAGCTCCAGCCACGCAGCCATGAACATACACACACGCACATGCAAACATAGCACTGTTAAGCACACACATCCATGTAAATGTGTATGATATGTACAGACACACACACACACATTTATAACGTTCTTTTTCATTCCAGTTGGCCTGGACGCAGCTGGAAAGACAACCATATTGTATAAATTAAAATTGGGCGAAATTGTGACGACGATTCCAACAATTGGTTTTAATGTGGAAACCGTTGAATATAAAAACATATGTTTTACGGTTTGGGATGTGGGCGGTCAGGATAAAATCCGACCGCTTTGGCGTCACTATTTCCAAAATACACAAGGCCTCATTTTTGTGGTTGATTCAAACGATCGCGATCGTATTAACGAGGCTGAAAAGGAACTGCAAAATATGGTAAACAATATATGGATAATAAATGTATATATTAATTACAATTTATTTGTGCGCAGCTGCAAGAAGATGAGTTGAGAGAAGCCGTTTTGCTGGTGTTTGCCAATAAACAGGATTTGCCGAATGCGATGAGTGCTGCCGAATTGACTGACAAGCTGCATTTGAATCAATTGCGGAATCGTCATGTTAGCGTGAACTCTTCACTAGTTCCATTTGCCATGCTGACTTTAATGTTATATTTTGCGTTCTCTTTTAGTGGTTCATTCAGTCGACTTGCGCCACTCAGGGGCACGGATTGTACGAAGGACTCGATTGGCTCTCCGCCGAATTGGCCAAGAAATGATTTTCCCTTTTGTTTTGTATTAAAATAAACTAAAAAAAAAAACAATTACTATTGCTTAGATTCTTAATAAATAAATATATATGTGTATAATAAGACGAAACAATTGTTTTGCTTTTTCTTTTATATATGTATTTAACATTTTCTTTTTTTAATCAACAAAAACAATACAAAAACTGTCGCAGCCAATCAGCTGTTAACATAACATGCAGCTAACATGCGTATAAGATATAATAACATTTGTGTGTGTATAAGAGAACAGAGGAGGTAACTTAGGCCAACTACAAACAATTATGTATGTGTTTGTGTGTTTGTGTAAAAGTAAGTACAACAGTAATGACAATTGGAATGTATTCGCTTGGAGGTTGTACATGCATAATATACATTTACAATCTTAACGATTTTAACTAGAGTTTAATCTACAAATTTTATAGGCAACAATATGTATCTATATATATTATAACTGTTATAATATATAAATATATATATATAGCAACTGCATTATTGTGACACATTTTTACTGCTTTTTATTTAAATACTTATTTTTACATATTTATATATATATATATATATATATATATATATATATATATATATATATATATATATATATATTATATATATATATATATATATATATATATATATATATATATATATACTTTATTTTAGATAGTCTAGCACTTTTAAAAAAAAAATGCTAGCAAATAATACTCTCTAAGCTATTTTTCTTGCGGTGTCAAAGGCTGATCAAAGATCAATATCCAAGGCATCTGGCGTTAGTAACATGGGTTCCCCATGATTATCATCCAACAAGGAATCATTTATCATGGCCGAATGATGATGGGGATGATGTCGATGATCCTCGGAGGATAGCAATGGATCATTATCGCCACCATCACTGAGCAAACCAAAGGCGCCACTCTCCCTGGGATGATGATGATTATGATTCTGATGGAGTTGTCTTCTCGAGTTGCTCTCACAACTGCTGTAAATTGTGGTTGCTGCAGGTTCTGTGCCACTCCTTGGTGAATGTGGGGCGGACAACAAATGGCTGCTGTGCGAGGATAACATGGGATCACCGCCCTGCACAGGATGCTTGCAATCCTCCATCAACTCATCAATTTGATTGAGACCCAAGCTGGCATCATCACTGCAGTTTACAGGCAGCTGTAAGAGAATTAATATTAATAATTATAATACTAATAACAATAATATTAACATTAAAGTGAAAGAGATTCTCCTTCTGCTTACATCCTCCATCAGGGAGACGGCGTGGCGTGTTTGTGCAACGGATGTCGAGGATGTTGACGTTGAGGTTGGACTGCTACATTTGAGATACGAATTGGCGGGCGTCGGAGCCGAAACGGATGTTAAATTATAATCGGATAGAGAGAAAACCGGCGATTTAGCCTGCATTTCCAGTTCCTATAGAATGAAAATTAGCACTTACTTTATTAGTTCATTTTATTTAAGTTAAATTAATTAAATTAAATTACAAATAAATATTAATTTAATTCGAATAACAGGAATGGGAATGTATTTATTTATTTAGGTATTTATATTTAATATCAATATTAAAATTCAAATAATATTTATATAATAAATATTCAAATATTTAAACTAGTTAAAATTTAATTTAAAATCTATTAATAAAAAATTTAGATATTTTCATAAAAGAATTATATTTAAGATTTATCAAAAAATGTACAGAGACTAAAGAATAGTTTAAGTTCAATTCAAAATCATATTTAATATTAAAGTTAAATCATAAATACTTGAAAAATAAATTCAATTCAATTAAAAATCACATTAAATAATTATAAATTTAAGTTTAAAATAAGAAATATTTATAAAAAAAATTTGAAAAACTAAATAGCTTAAATTCAATGAAAAATCAAATTTTATGCTAAATTTTAATTAGCAAGTAAAATGAATTAAAAATGGAATTTAATATTAAATTTTTTTGAAGAAAAATAAGAAATCTATTTATGTAGATGCAAGACTTACCCGCACACGACCAATTAATTTACGATTCTGCAGTTCCATTTGGCGTTGACGGCTCTCGTTTTGTCTGAGCCGAGAAACTTCGTGTTTCAGGCACTTGATATAATCCACAGAGGACTTTAAAATTGTGCCCTTATTGGGGCGTATATCGCGAACAACCTCGTAGAAGGCCTCGCTGCCCTTGGGCAGCAAAGTACCCAGCTCCTTGATTCTATCATTGATATTAAAGCGGCGACGTCGCTCAACTTGAAAATAAAACAATTATTGTATCAAATTTAATTCTAATTCGAATTTTATGCCCAATGTTTCAGCTCACTCATATTGTGATTATCCTTTTTCTGGCGATCCTTGGCTAAAGCATTTAATTCGGCGTCCGTCAAATTTTGTGGCTCCTGTTTAATGGATAGTTCCGAGCTGAAGTTATTATCGAAATTGAAGGAATCGTTTTGCAATATGTCGTCAAAGAGATCGTCTGCCTGTAAATACAAGAAAATCAATAATTAAAATTTAATTCAAATTAAATCAAATGCAACACTTCACTTACTTTTAATTAACTATTTACGTTTGAACTATTAACTATATATTATTATTAATTATTCAATTATTTTCAATTAACTATTTATTTATTTTTAAACTATTAACTACTAATAATTTTTCACGATTTTTAATTAACTGCTAACTATTTATTTTTTAGCTATAAACTATTTATTATTAATTATGCAATTATATTTAATTTATATTTAAATTTAAATAAATTATAAATATGAAATGAATAAATAAGTAAATAAATACATAAGTAATAAATAAACATAATAGTGGAATTTTCCAGCATCTCATAAATTAAACAATTCTATCAAATTTAGCAGATGAGCGCAGTAATAATAGTTTCGTCGCTATTCAGTAATAATAGTTTTAACAATAAATGATAACTTTGTTTGTTATTTAATTTATAAATTCACACATAAACGCACACACATACATATATGCGTGTATTTCAAGGTACGATTTGCGAGAGCTGGTCACACACATTTTTTGTTAAGTGCGATTATTGAGCAGAGTCGTGCTCTACTGATTAGGAAGCCAACTCACCTCTCCCCGCTACACAGCGCACTTAACAGAATGGCCAAATTGATTGCGTAAACAATTGGCACACGATAGAAGTGGATAAATCCACACACACGCACACGCACATGTATGCAACGTGCTTTTCAAGTTGGTGCTCTCACTGTTTGTATGTGTGTGTGTGTGAGTGAGTGTAAATTGTTTGCTAAGAGTGTATGCATTGGCTGCTTAGTGCTGTGAGCGAGAGAGAAGAAGTTCTAGTGTGGGAGGACACGCAAAAAAAAAGCGTAAGCAAATAACTGTTCCTCTCGCTACATTTATAATGCTCAGCCGATGCTGTTGCAATTAATAAGTGTAAACACATAAAAGAGTTGCCAGCTTAAAATACACAGTATCATACACTCACATATATTGCAAAACAATACTTAGTCAATGTTAAGCTGGTAACTTTTTTATTGCATGTAGCCGCAAAAAGCCTGCACTGAATTTTAATAGATTGCCTTCAAAATAAGTAAAATAAGCGAGCATACTGCTACATACCCTGTATTAAGATCTAAGTAACCAGACTTTAAATATAAGTTTGGAAATTATTGTAGACTTGTATTATCAGTTAACTAAACATAACAAACTGATAGAGAGATATTTATTCACTTACATCGCTGTCAAATGAGGGTAGCTGAAAACAAATACAAAAAAATGGTATTGGTTAATCAGAAATTGAAATAAAACAGGGGCTCATTGAATCTTTATATTGAATCTATATATATATATATATACACACATAAATTTATGTTATTGGGGGACACACATTGATGACAATTGGGGAAATGTTATGTATGATGAGCGTTGTTGTGTGCAAATGGTTGTGATAAATATACATTTCGTAACAACATATAGGCTTTAAAATCAATTTAGGTAATTTATGTCTGCTGTCCACAAGTGAAGATAATATAAAACAAAAATCGAATACTTCCTCGTTTCAAAGTCAACATTTTACTCAGTCAACAAAGTTGACACTATCAAAAAAAAAAAAGATTTAACACAAAATATTGCCCACTCCCCCCACCCATCATAAATTTTCCTGTCTTCTATAAGAATGATTGAACACACACATATACAAAAAAAATAATCTGTTTGAGCAACACTAACAGCAACATCGATATTTATTATCATTAAATTTACTCACAAAGGCAGATCATAAGCAATCAATCAAAATGTAATCGAATAATGCATTTCTTTAAGAATTAAAGCTTGTCTAATTTACACACGCACGCACACATCTAAGTACACAAGTCTGAAATTAATATAAGAATTATCTGCGCATGATGTAATACAGATGTACATGTGCATATGTTAAGCAAGTATTTTAATATGCCAAGAAATTCAAGTAATTAATTGCATAATGATAAGGCCATTTTTTTCACAACATCAAGTTAAGTTTGTTTGTTTGTTGACGCAAGTTCTCAGATACCATAAGTAAATGGACCAAAGCAGCTTCTGATTGGTTACCACTCGCATGTTACACAGACACATACACGCATATGACACACATAACTCGCACAAGGGGTTAAAAAATAAATAAAGACAACCCACATAATAATTGAAATGTAAATGTAAATGTAAACATTGCCATTGGAGTTCAATTTGTTAACATTATGATTACCAGCATTTTTTTATGGGCAGATATAGAGAAAATTCTATATATAATTGAGTAAAATTGGGGTTTACAATAAAAAGAAGCAGAAGCCGTAATTCCCAATTGTGATAAAGATAAGTCTGAGCGGTTTTTACTATATTTTTATGCATCTAACATGCATTGCACCTGTTAAAATGCTTATCAACTGTTAAACATATACATATGTATGTATGTATTTACATAGAGATCAGTTAGTTTGTAATGACGTTAATACCCCACCACGCAGTACACACACACACACATACAAACGCACACATACAGCTGTATGTGTTGATAGCTGTAAAGTTGTAGAAGGCCCCTTAGCGATAATAATAAAAAAAAGGAAAAAACAAGAGAACCTAAATTGTTCATGTTATCTAAGCAACAGAAATCTTATTGTCATTACGTCTACGCGCAAGCAAACAAAATAAATAACTTGTTAGCATACATACAAACACACTCATGCATAACAGAAACAGCAGCAAAAAAAAACAAGCCTGAACTGAATTTAAAGAGAGAAATTATCATACAATATATACATACGTATATACAGTTATATACATCTGTACGCACTTATTAGAGATCACTCGTTAATAATAAATTTACTTATTTACACACGTGTAACATACACAAACACACACATATAGTATACATATATATATATATATATATATATTTACTTAAATCAATTTGAGTCAAGCTAGCCAGTTAGCAGCGTTTGCCGGCCGAATTTAAAACCGGTTTTCAATCAAAATTGGAGTCTAATTCGCACGCGTTTACCAATTTGAAGGACTTTTTTTTCACAAATATATGCACATACATACATACAGACACAGATGAGAATTATTTGACAGCGGTTCTTTTCTCTACTCTCTTCGCTTTTAATCTTTAAAATTGTAATTTGCAGGAGATCAATGAGCTTCTGTCGCCAACAATCTATACATTCCTCAATGCTGTTCGCTATTTGTAAGCTTTTGTATAAATATGCATATTATGCACAGTATAATATATATCTACGTATATATGTATATGTGTGCATTATCAAAAGCAATTGCGCAAATATTTGTTAATTATAATTAATTGAAAATATTCGCAAACAGTCACCACAGTCAGCAGCGAATCGCATTCGATGACTCGTTCGTTCCGAGCGAACTGAAAATCGAGAGTGGAACGAACTGGAACATACCCTAAAAAAAACTATAGATGTAAAGCACACTAACATAAGAGAGTCTAACAGAAAATATAATATATTTAAAAGCTTTAAGCTGTCAATTTCATAAATGTTATGTATTCATTTTGTTGGTGGTGTTTCAAACATATTCTCATTTTTATAATACCCATTTTGAGTTATTTTATTTTTCAGGGTATATTAATGGAACAGACACACAGACGGACTTGAGTATAATGAGACTCGGCTACAAGGGTACAAAAAGTTAAATTTAAACAAGTTCTTTCAAACGCTTGTCAAAACACACACATAATAATTAATAAAAAATACATAAAAAAAAAAAAAGTTCAATTAAAATTCGAATGCAATTATTAAAAAATGGTAGATGAATGTGAATATAATGCTATAATCTCATCCTACATTCTAGTGTTGGGCAACAGCAAGAGATTAATGCGGTCTCGCTCGCTCTCTTCCCCTCCCAAACCACGCTCTCTTTCTCAAACTCTCTCTACAATGCAGCCTCCGCAAAATTGTTAGATTTTTCTTTCTTTTTTTGTTTTCACCTTTGTACGCCTGCGCGGTATAAAGCTGAGTATCGGCATATTTATGCATCGACTCGCTTGCTCAATTCTTGCCTGCTCCTCTTTGTGTCGCTCTTTCGTTTTGTTTATTGTCTTACGAGGGGATGGACCGTTCCTATTGGCCAACGTTGCTGTTGTTGCTGCTGCAGTTGTTGTCGTTGCTGCCGAGGAGCAACGTTTGCTGCGCCGCTCTGGCACACTGGCAGCCGTTATCCAAGGTAGCACGTGCATTTGTTTTCTAACACGCCTCTCTCTTTTTAACTTATTTACTTAGGGTACGAAGACGTTTATCGTCACGGTCATCGAATTTGTAAGCGAAGATCTTTTATCAGTCGATAGACTTCGTAATGCTGCATTTATCTGCTGCATTCATTCACAAGTCTTGTCATCGAGCATGCGCAGAGGAATATCCTTAAAATCCTATACTTAAATTGGCAGGGACACATCATTTTCTATTTTTCCAAACACTGCCAATAACTTTTTTTCATATTGATGGGAGTATTATATTTGAATTGCATTTATCTATACATATATATTATGTATGTTTTGTAAGGCAACCACTTTAACTCCACTCCCCACTAAATTCAATTTACTACTAGTAGAACGAAATTTCGCGCACACATTTTTTTTTCGGAAATATCTAGCCATGACAACCTGTTTGATTGATTGCCTTAAGTTGGCAGCCCAATGGAAAATACCGCTCATTATGTACACCACACTACCCCCTGCTGATCAAGCGCAACAAAAAAAAGCAAAAGATTACTAAATGTTAGTGGGCAGACAAAAGCTGCTTATCACGAAGAACACGCCACAATTGAAGTTTATACGCAGTTTTTCCGTTTAAAAATGTGTATTTTAAAAACGAGGCCGATAATTTGCATAATTTCTGACAAAAGCTGCTTAGCACGATAGATGAACCGTTCGCAGTCTGACAAAAGCTGTATGCTATGTAGAGCGTTCTTAAACTTAATTTCTGAAGTCGGTAAATTTAAATATTTGACGCGTAAATGATTTTACTGACTATAATAAATACGGTTTAGTTAAATAACTATTCAATTTAATAGATTATTAAATAAAACTCACCTCCGAAGCACTTGTGGCCACCGAACTCAGACTAGGTGACATGGGAGCTGATGTCGATTGCAATGGACTCGCTGTGCTGCCACCCGAATAATTTGAGGAACGCATTTGACTATTATTTATATTGTTCGAAGCACGTCCAGCGGAGCTCAGCGAAGAGTTAAGATTAAAGTTGGCTTTGCTGTTGCTGAAGAGGCTGTTGCCATTGTTTAAAGCAGCCTGATCCTGATCCAAGGCAAAGAAATTGCTGGAATTGCATCTGCCACCAGTTGTTGCAGCTGCTCCTGTTACAAAAGCTGAGTCTTCCGAGGAATGCAACAGTTTCTTATCGCAACCAAAACTGTTAGGCTTCTGCTGGGACTGTTGTTGCTCATTATTGTTAATATTCCTATTAATTATCGTATTACATTGTAAGTTTCCCGTTGATGCTGATGTATTTGAGGCATTTTTTGTGGTATTCTATTTTTTTTTTTTTTTTTGGGAAATAGAACTATTTGTCATTTAATTTGTAAATAAAAAGATACATTTTAAATAAATAATTGGCTCACATCGAAATTTTGGCAGCTCCAAACGGAGGGTTTCAGCGATTCACTCAGATATTGACGCACTTGATTCTTCTGCTTCTGGATCACATGATATCGGGTGGGATTCTCAAGAACGGTGCTCACCTGGGGTAAGAAAAAAGATAATGGGTATTAGATATAGATAAATATAGAGAGTAATATTATTGAGCTTAATGTGTTTTTTTTTTTTTAAATTTATGTAATAAATATAGATTATTATGTAATATTATTGAACTGTTTTTAGCTGCAGTTAAATCATTTATATTTTATAATTATAAATAAATATAATAAACATTAATATTAATATAAAATAGTGATAATAATAATATAAAACATAATATGGGATTATAAAAATAAATAAGTGAACAGCACTTAAATAATATGTTTATTTTAAAAATAAATAATAAATATAAATATATATAATAAAGATAGATAATAAATATAGTTATAGATTATCATTTATTATTATTATTAATTATATATTATTTATTATATTTAATTTATTATTATTCATTTATTAAGCTCTTTACCTGTAGAACTTGTGGCGGCACATCGACTCCAATGCTTTGGAGGGGTACTTTGAGAGTAACAGGACTCGAGGCTGGCGGCAGACGAGACGAGTTCAACTGGGCTGAAGATTGATTTGACTGATTTAGGCTGGAGGCGCCACTGCTGCCACAGGCACTCGTATTGCTATCGACGGCCGTTTCCTTCTCAAAGCAATCCGTCGTCGTCTGCATTCCGTACGCATTCAACAAACCAGTATCCGTGGTATGCACCAATTGTTGCAGCTGTTGTTGTTGCATCAGCATTTGTTGCTGCTCCTGTTGCTGCTGCTCACGTTGCAGTTGCAGCTTTAGCTGAGTGCGAGATGTGGGCATGGCTGTTTTAAAGGTGGGTCTAGAAAATAAGGAATAGCGTTTGAATATATTGTATTTAAATCATATTTGAGTTTAAATAATAACCGCCAAAATTGTGTTTGTGTGTGCAATCGATAAATATAGCCTAGCTCGTTTAAATATGAGCGCAATAATATTAATTACTCAAAATGTCATTTCCATGAGTATATAAAACCGTCATGTTAATTACTCAAAATAGTATTTTTTAATCAACGCCACTAATCGATTTTTATTTCGTTGATCTGTAAACTGGACTTTACTTAATAAAAATATACCGATTACAATTTAATTTCCTTTTATGGAAAATACCTACCCACCCGTCAGTGGCGGTAGGCCCACAATACGGGTCTCTGTTGTTTCATTAACGCCAATATCACCCAAATCCACAATGCTCGGATCCATTTCGAGAATCATTTCCAAATCCTTATCGATGCCGACGTTGACACGAATATTTGTTGTGTGTTTCACTTCGTTGTGACTGACACTTTTAACAGCTGTTGCTTCATCCGGTTCATCTAGTTCCATTAGCGCTGTTGGTTCCACTCCTATTTCAATGTCTGTCTTATACAGCTGTTGTTGTTGCTCTGTTAAGATTACATCTTGCTGTTCGCCGTTGTCGGGTGACATTTGCAGTGTTTGAACACGCCGCAAAAATTGCTGGAATTCTTCCAATCTTACCACAGAAGATGCTGCGGATTCTTCATTCCCTCCCGGAGGAGTTTTCAATATTTCACTGCGTGTCTCCATTAAATTATTCGACGTTTCATTATTATTATTACTGTTTTTTTCAGCGTTTTTATTCGCCGCTGTTTTTTTGGCCCAGTAGGAAAACATGCTCAATTTGTATATTTAAATATCCAACGATTCACTTTAGATAACAATGTGTACAAAACATCACTAATTGGGCCTTGATCTTGTCTAGAATATCACTCGATAAATGAATGCGGAAAAAAGCTGAGAGAAATGTTAAGCACTGCACAAATATACATATAAATAAATGTATATACACTTATACACTCAGATATTCATTTATATGTATGTGTGTATGTATTAAAAAAGCCGCAGCCAAAAAAATGGGTGCCCTTTCAACAGTGGTTTAACAGGAATCGTTTGCTCTAGTTTAACAGTCATTTAACATGGAGTTAATTATCTTCATATTATATTTATATATTTAATATGATCTACTTTAGTCAAACTATTATGTTTATATATATTATCTTTATGTATTAAATACGAATAAATTAATTTGTATATTATATTTATATATTAAATATTAATTAATTTATTAAATATTTATTATAATCTAGTCATACAATGTACTTCTCTTTTTATTATACACCCAATAGCCCTGTATTTTTTGATAGATTTATGTAAATACACAATTAAATATATGTAAAACGCACACATGCAAATAAAATAAATATATGTAAACACACACACATATATATACATATTGCTCATTATATATGTGACCTAACATTTTGGCCACAGCACGGACATGCGCCCTTACAAAAATGCTAAGCATAAACTATGCTAAACGTTGCTCTTATACAGTGAGTAACGAGAGTGCAGTTGCATGATTAGATCGACTGCGCTGTTAAGCGACTACTGTTACAGAAATATTTTAATACTTATGCAGTCGAAGCTGTTTGCTGCTGCAGTTTGTAACATGAATATATAAAATATATTATGTACAAAATTTAATTACAAATAATAATAAGAAAATAATATTTGTAGCCATCTATTTAAGCCAAGCAAAATATAAAAAACATAGACATTAGTAGTTTTATTTCTGTTGTATGTACGTAAAACAAATCGACCAACACTTTATATCAATGGCCTACCCCTAGTACTGCTGCTCAATTGGCAACGCTAAATATCACACATTTGTCTTAAATTAACATACACACAAACATACGGAGTTGCGTATGTATTGATAACGACATGCTGAAGAAAAAGACGTTAATCTCCAACACACACACACAGCTGTAAGTATGCGCGTACGTGTGTGATTGCCCAAATAGCCGATAAGATAGTAAGAAAAAAAGTGACCATCAGCCAATAAACATACGTTTGTAGATATATGTATATATAAATCTTTAAGCTACACACGCAGCAGACACACATACACACACAGACATATACTCACATTTCATCGGTGCGCAGAGAACGAGTTGATTTCAGCTCATAGAATTCAACATTATCCGCGTTGCCAGCCAAGAAATCCATATTTGAATCGCTATCGTTGAGTAAATTTAGGTTTAAATCAAACTCCAGATCAAAGCCCAGATCAATGCCGGATTCCGCCATCGCTCCTCCAAATTTGTCTTATTTTTTACTCTTTTTTATTAAAATTGTGATTGAGACTAATTGGGGACGTCGCCACATTTCCACATTATTTCGCACAAATTTATACGCGTGGAGAGTAGTAACAAGAGTAACCAGTAATCGATCGACGAAAATAACTCTCAATTTAGTTAGCGGTGAGAGTATGCCGAATTTCGACATCGATATCGATATTTAGAAAAATAAGAAAGCCTTGTTGCACGACTAAAGTGATTAAAGGAATAGTCATACTAAAAAAATATCGGCTACGGTAGATAGAGAAATTTTACTTGTTATGCACGCGTGTTGATATCGATATTTAAATAAAATTAAGACTGCACAAAATTTTGTTATGCCTTGCCTGTCGAAAGCACCAATATATCGCTCAGCCGGCTAGCTATCGGCTCAGAGGTAGTTCGACCGCGATATATTGGGCGGCAAGTTAACAAAATATTTTAATTCTATTATAAAAAAAAAAAAAACAAATATTTCCATCAAACCAGTCCGCTCGCTGCTTTGTTGGATGTGTGGATGTTGTACAGCCTGCGTGTCACTCCCTTCCTAGTGATTCCTCCTCTAAATTTCCTGGAGAAATTCCCTTTCACAATTATTCCCTTCTCGTTTGTTTCTTATGCCCTCATCTCATCCGATCACATTGAATTACCACCTCATATTCATTTTTTTCAGACTATTTCATTTACAACTTATGTGATACATGTGACATCGTGGTCCCTAACATTTTGTTGGCCAACACTAAATTCGCTTATATATATTTAATACAATTTTATCTATTTACTTAATTTAAAGCTTACAAAATATTTATGATTTTTCTTTTCTTTTTTTATTTGGCTTCAAAAGTGCGCATCACTGAGTGACAAAATGAGCATCACTATTGCATTGGTTAGGGCCGATCAGCTGTCTTTGACCCAATCTGCCGCAGTTAGGCGGGAACAAACTCACAGGTGTGTTGATATAATCCCAGGCGTCTCAGGGTCTCCGGGCTTCGACTTCCTGGTTCCTGAGTTCAGTTGTCCCTGGTGATTATCTCCTTGATGGTGGCGATGGGTAGTTCCGGCTGTTGCTGCCGCCGGTTTGTATGTTTTTATTTTATTTATCTTTTTTTACCTTTACTTTTAATCACATTTAATTTATTTGAATTTTTTTTTAAATAAATCTTTTTGCAGCGCATGCGCATGCGGTCCCCTCTTCTTTCTTTCTCTCTCTTCCTACCTATTTTTCTCTAGATGGTCCCTCATCGATATCCCTTACCTATCGATGAATCTGCCGACCATTACAATGTTGCACAAGTAATTAAAATAATGAAAGGAATACCTGAGGGAAATTTTAATAAAATAACTCTTGTTGCACATTAAAAGATTAAATACTGTTAATACTGATTGCTAAGAAATTCGTCAGCAATCTTACTCGAAATGGCAGCCCTAATCGAATTGCACCATCTTAAGAGCAGTTATCGTGTGCGGCGTTATGTCGATAATTCGCGGCTGTCGAAAGTCACCCTTGCCTAATATCATTAGTTGTGCCGATAAAATTCTTTCACACATAAATTGTGACAAATAAAAAGTGAATTTTCGATTTTTCTGGTTCTGAAGAGCAATTCGTTTATAAACTAAATATTAATGTCATAGGTGTATTAAATGTTTTAATTGGATATTACGCTTACGGCTAATATTATCCACACACACAGACACACACCCCGACAAACGGTTGCAGTTGCAGCTGAATTCGTTTTCGTACGTATATTCCATTGCATACATACATACATACGTGTATGTGTGCGTGTTTTTGCTTTTTGTTTGTTCGCTTTGATATACATACATAATTATTAATTTAGCATAGAATATGTTATTAAAATGTTATACAATTAACATAATTCATCTGTTTTAACATTAAAGTAATATTGTCAATTGATTCTCAGGTGTATGTATGTATTTTTTTTTGTATGTACTGTGAATTTTATGATGAACATATGTGCCTGCTTGTGTATATGTGTATATTTTTATGTGTGTGTCTATTTGCAAGTGTATATTTTTAGATGACATGATGAATGGATTTAGATAAACATTTTAAATATTTGTTGGCTTAAAGTTTAGTAACATTTAATATAACTATACAAATACCATTACTAATAATATAATATAATAATTATTATTTAAATAAATATATTAAATATTATTATTGCTTAATAGTTCGTTATTATTGCTTAAGAGTTCGTTAACATTATTTAAAAACAGTTAACATAAAAACAAATATATTTAAATTTAATACAAAAGCCGAAGCCAATCAGTCGGATAAAATGGATAAAAAGATCTCGTCCACATCGCAGCCGCGCATACTGAAAAAGAAGCATTTTCGCGTCAAGCATCAAAAGGTGAAGCTTTTCCGTGCAAATGAGCCGATTTTGAGTGTTTTCATGTGGGGCATCAATCACACCGTATGTGTTAACCAACACTATGCATAACATAGACTTAACATTCACTTTACAGATCAACGAGTTGAGTCATGTTAATATACCAGTCATGTTATTGCCAGACGACTTTCGGGCCTATTCCAAAATTAAAGTCGACAACCATTTGTTTAACAAGTGAGTAAATACTTAATATAATATATTAATTATTATATAAATATTATTTTTAGAGAAAATATGCCATCGCATTTTAAGGTGAAGGAATATTGTCCTTTGGTTTTTCGAAATTTACGCGAACGTTTTGGCATCGATGATGTGGATTATCGCGAGTCCTTGACTAGATCACAACCATTGGGCATTGATTCGTCCGGCAAGTCGGGCGCCCAGTTCTATCAGAGCTATGATAAATTCTTCATCATTAAAAGCCTGACATCTGAGGAAATTGAACGCATGCACGCCTTCCTCAAACACTATCATCCAGTTAATTATCTATATATAACTTCTACTATTTATATCTATTAATGTTATCTCATCTATTTTATAGTACGTTGTTGAGCGACATGGCAAAACTTTGTTGCCGCAATATTTGGGCATGTATCGCATTACTGTGGAGAGTGTGCAGTATTATTTTGTTGTCACGCGTAATGTTTTCAGCTCCCAATTGACCATACATAAGTATACATAACTATATCTATATCTCTTAATTTATTACATCTTTTATTTTTTTTATAGAAAATTCGATTTAAAAGGCAGCACTGTAGATCGCGAGGCTTCCGAGAAGGAGCTGGAGAAACATTTACCCACATTTAAGGACAATGATTTCATCAAGCAAAAGGTCAAATTGGAAATTGGCGAGGAGCCCAAGCAAAAGTTGCTCGATACTCTCAACAATGATATTGATGTAGGCATTGTATTATATTTATAATATATAGTATATTATGTATATTAGGCCTGTAGGTGTATTATATAATATTATGTATTATATTTTATTATGTTATATTCTCTATAAGTCTATATACAATATTATATATTTATAGCTCCTAACCAAGTTGCATATAATGGATTATTCCTTGCTCGTTGGTATCCACGATTGTGTCCGGGCCGAGGAGGAGGCCCTGCAGGGCGATACCGCACCAGCAACGGGACGCAGCGAGAATAGCGAGAGTGAAGAATGCGATAGTGGTGAACGGTAAATAATATATCATAAATATACATATCCATATTTAATATTAAATCTGTGGACAGCTGGACGTACAACACACCACCGGATTCGCCACGAGGTGCACAATATAAAGAAGTTGTTTATGAAGTCGATATTTACGCCATTCCAAGCATTGAAGGTTTGTCTTTAAATGTATATTATATATACATTTAAATATATTTCATATAACCTTAAATATATATTTATTATTTTAAATGTATCCCATATAAATATATAAAAATCTTTAAAGAGAGACGAGAAATCTACTTCATAGCAATTATCGATGTTTTAACTCAATATGGTGTCAAAAAACAGGTAAATTAAATAATATGTGTAAAATATGTCCCATTTCTTTGATTATACATATGTTTATATAATTTGTAGGCAGCGAAAGCGGCTAAGACAGTAAAATATGGTAGTAATGTCGATGGTATATCAACTTGTGATCCTGAACAATATGCCAAAAGATTCCTGGAATTTATGGATAAAGCTATAGAATAAGATTATATAATTGTATTTGTCATATATATATATATATATATATATTTAAAAAAAAACTGAATCATATATATACATATAAAATATGTCGTTATTACATTATTTCCCCCCCTTCAGTTTAACCCCCTTATTATTTTCTCGAAATAAATAACACTCTTGGTGAGTTATCAACATTTATTATTATAAATTGTGGCATTGTCACAACAAAAAATAATCATGTGTAAAGAAAACCAAAAATAATTTGGCCTGGTTTACTCAAATTAAACGCTATCAATATATATATATTAATAAAATTGCAATTTAAATTAAGTAAATTTATGAATTACTTTTCCATTTTCCAGTTGTTACTAAAATTGAATTGCGAAATATATGGAAAATATATAGAAATATAAATATGTCAAAATACTCACCACAAAACGATTAACCTGATAACGCGGCCCAGTTGGCGATTTGCGCTCTTGGTTTGTCATATTTTCAAAGCGATCGCGTATGCTGAAATGTATGTAGGTATTATTATACAATAGCTACAAAAGAAAGATTATTGTGTGCGTTTCTTACGTCTTTGCGGTCTCAATTGTTGAATCATCGGAGACCTGCTGTGAGTAAATATCCACATAGCCTTCAATTAATTCGCGCTTGATTTCATTGGCCTGCCATTTTTCAAATTTGGCGCGCAATTGCTTTGCGCGAGCTGCACTTTGTGCCTGTAATCGAATAAAAGGAGTAAGCTCGTTATCGAAAGCAGTTGTGTATGGGATCGATAGATAGGCGTCATTGCGATAGCGAATTGAAAAGTTAGTAATGCAGCCGGTTAATTGCTAATAAAATTACTTATTATATATATCTATTATTTAAAGCGAATGAAATTATTATTGAAATCGAATATTAATTGTGAATGATATTAATTATTAGTTAAATCGATGTGTTGTTTAATATATATAATTTATGTATAAAATAAATACAAATATTAAATGTATACAATTTTTTACCTCTTTCAAAGCTTCGTCGCCATGGCTCGTACTCAAAGCTACTATTTCCTTATCGATTTCGATCTCATCATCGTCATCCTCATCGCTCTCCTCATCCTCGTCGTCTTCTTCGCTATTTGATTTATCGTAATAGGCTCGTCGATCTTCGGGTGGCGGCGGTGTAAAACATTTTAAAGGCCTGGGACCCATTTGTTCAGCTCCGCGGCGTGGATTCCGTTCCAATTCCCGAAACTTGTTCAACATCGTCGATGTTGTCTGGGTTTTTTGCAGCACATTGTCGTAGAAAGATTTTTCATTCGGAGTTGGATCCGTACCTGAATCGGGAGAGGGCATTTTCACAACACCCTCGCGAGGTGGCGTTATGCGAAAACGGCGCTTTTCGCCATCTTTGGGCCGATACGTTTCGAAGAACTTGAATTTCTGACTCAATTCCGCCGTTTCAATTTTGACATCTTCCGGTTTGGCATCTGATTTGACAACATCAATGTCAACATTCTGAAATTAATTAAATATAAATATATATATATATATATATGTATATATGTGACACTAACTCACTTCTGATCCAAATTGAGTTTGATTAATGCTTCCGCAGGGATTAACGCTTTGTTGTCTCTGCGAACTTTCGCGATTTGCATTCGTATTCGAAGCGATATTTGCATCCAACTCCATAAAAATGCTACGCGATTTTTTACTGATAGCTGCAGAAAATTGTAAATGTCAAATTTAAGTAAATGTAATGTTAACATACTGCAATAGCTCTGCCTGAAAGCTCTAGCTATTTAAAACTTGTTCAAGCAGGCTACAAAGCCTCTGCTCGCTAATAGCTCTTAAATTTAATGATCGCAGAAGCAGTCAACAAAAACAGAAAAGGAGGAGGGAGCAATTAAAACACACCCGACTCAAATATTTCGGCATCCTCGGACAAGTTAGAACCGTGTCCATTGTTAGCTGCTTGCGCATCGCGATCGCCTTTTTCCGCAAACATTTCGCCATTTTCGAAACGCTGCTTAATGGAGCGAGCAGCATCGCCGATCTCCACATCCGGTTGCTTGCCAATGGAAGTGCGGGCCTGACCCGATTCGGCGACAGCCTGTTGATACATTTCCTTAATTTTCGCCTGTTTGCCCATAAAGAGCCGCGAGCGTATATTTTGAATTTCTTGTTTGCGCTCCTCGCGACGTTCTTCTTTTGATTGAAGCGTGCCTTTTTCAAATCTGGTTTTAATATCATTCATTGCATCGCCTATGCCAACGGGCCGTTCTTTTTGTGTGCTTCGCTTTGAGCGCATTAAATCGGCATCTTCGTTCTCTTCTTCTTCGTCGTCATCGTCAGCGCTGCTATCGTTATCGTCGCCTTGGCTCTTCATGCGATACTTTTCGAGTACAGATGTGCTACGCATAATCACAGGCCGTTGCTGCAGTCGCAATTGCTCCTCCTCTATTTTGCGCTGCTCCACATTCTCGAATGCCTCGAATCGTGAACGAACGTTCAATTGATGAAGTTCATCCAGACCCAGATCCGGTTTATCAGATGCTGTTTATTAAATACACATATATGTATTAAATATATATTTTTATATAAATAAATATTTATTAATTTACCCCTCACAACATCCGGTGGCAGCTCTGTCGGCTGGCTTTCACGTATTATGAGCTCCGTTCGACGTGGCTTTGGTTCCTCAGCCTGCTCTACCACCTTTGGCGCAAAGAGCCTAAATGAGTAAAAGGAGTTAGTTCAACTGGCGATAGCATCGCTGTCACATTACGCATAACTCACGACTTGAAATGTACATTGCAGTAGAGGTTGCCGTCGTGACTCTGATAGCTATCGAACCTGCAAGAGGAGAGCGTGTGACGTAATTATTAACATGCCTTGCTTCGTCACAAAATACGTACTTCAGCTGTTTGGCACACTCCTTGCAGCGCAAACAGCTTTTATGATAGATGCTCTTATCCGTCTTTAACTGCACAACAACCTCTTCCATTTTGTACACTGGCTTCGAGCAGAGTCGACAATTTGTCTGCTGTTCATCTTGTGGATTCTAAATATAAATATAACATTTTATTTAAATATATAATTTTTTAGTTGCTGTTTTCTGTTTGGGACATATGTAAATTTTATTAAAATGTGGCAGAAATGTTTGGATTATTGAATGAATTTCATTTGCTTACACTGAAGATTTCTTGGGCTTTACTAGAATTGCTTGAACGTACATGGATTAAATTGCGCTTCTGCAGGGCATCAAACTTATTGAAACTGCTCTTCTATAAAATGAGCGAATAATAATTATTGTCGATCGATCAATCGATATATCGAAGCATTACTTACCACAGATATATTTTGATTATCGTATTCGCATTTCTTTGGCTTTTTTGATTTATTCTTTTTCTTAGCATTTACATTTAGTTCATCTGCTGCATCGTTCGTTATATCTGATGTTGACTGTATTCTTGCCTCGTCTTCGACGCATATTTTAACTGATTCCGTTTTCTTAATTTCGCTGCTCACCAATTGCTCAGTTTTCGAACTAGTTTTTACAGACTTTTTAACTAGCTTTTTGGTTGTTTTTAGCGACTTAGATACCAAATGATCTTCCTCCGCATTTATAACTGTATTGAACTGGTAAAAAAATATTTAACATTTGTCTTTATTTGTTGGTTATAATTAAATTATGCTTTGAATTTATATGCATACCTTTTTCGTTTCCATTTCGGCAGCGATCCAATCTGAAATAAACAAATATGAAATTTTCTATGTGTATGTGTGTAGGGCAACAGGAGCAGATATATTTGTTTTATTAATATATATATATATATATATATGTGTGTGTGTGTGTGTATTACGTACATTTACCTGAGACCTAAATGCGCAAACATACAAATACACACATACATAGAAAAACTTGTGTATTGCCCGTATAAAAATACGCATTTGTACGGAATTCGGACACAACATATATATAAAAACACAAATACATATTTTTCTGTGTGTGTGGGTCTTATAGACAAGATTGTTCGCTTCGCGGTCTTACTCATGCTTCTTGGATACACACGTACACATGTAAATTGAGCGAGTACCGTTATAGAAGGAAATATAGAAAGAGGAGAAGGAGGGGAATAACAGAGATGCGTCAGCTTCTGTCCATTGAAAATGTTCTATTTTGCGGCTGCAATCTTGAAATGCCGTTCTATTTTTGTGCCAAGTATTTTTTCAGCAGGGGTATTTTTTCTATTGCTAACAGGTACTTTAAAACGAATTTCTTTATTCATAAATTTAATTACTTTATTAATTAATTTGTAATTTTATTTATTGGTTATTTATTTATAATTTATCTATTTATTATTTTTTTTGGTTATTTATTTTATTTGCATCACTTTTAAAATTAATACTTATTTATATATTAGCACCTTAGTTTAGAAGTTGTTTTTAGTCTAAACTTCTACTTCCACACATATACAGATTTCTAAATTTCACTTTTAGGAAGTTTCGCCGAGTAAACCCAATTGAAGACTGTTCGGATCCGGCTGCACACAGCATTATTCGATTGGGAAATTTTGCTAAGCTTTTGCATATCTCAATTCTTTGTGTTGGGCAAGCTTTTTAATGATCTCTTTTTTTTTCGGCCGGAAAGAAAGTCTAGAGATGCTGCCCACTATTTAAATAAAACAAAAAAAAAATAAATAAAAGAAGCTAAAATGTTGCAATTCAGCTTATATTTGATTTCTTTATGCTGTTTATCGATAACATAGCTATCGCTAATTGATTGAGTGAATTTAATTATTATTATAGAAAGAAAATCGAAAATTACATGTAATTTTAACACTTTATTTAAACCGTTGAAATATTCTTTCCTTTTGCAATATTTAATATTATGCACGTATAAATAATTACTTAAGGCTTAAAACTTAAGTGCTAAATTAATAGAACTGAGATGTGTGTAGGATGAAGGAACCAAATATACAAAACAAGTCTAAGGAAATGCTAAGTTTCTATATAAATATATAGAATGCATGTTTAATAAGGTGATGCTGATAATTCGATATATATATTAATGTATATATATATATATATATACAATTGTTTTTAAATATTTATCACTTATATATATATATATATATATATATTATACTTACGGCCACGTCTCTTTTTTACGAAGCGTTTCTTGTCAAGCTCTAAGTATGCATGTACTATTATCATTATCACTATTAGTGTTAGTATTAGGCTTAAAGTACACATGCGGACGAAGAAATATATATATTTATTAATTAGTTATTAATTCAAAATATGACTTTTGATCAAACAATTCCAACAAACTAAGAAACACTGTCCAAAAAATACTCAGTTTACAATATACCCACATAAATACAGATATAGAAATCAGAGAATTACTCAAAATACTGAACTACTTTTTAAAAAAGTGAATGAATTGTTTGATGCATGTATTTTATATTTATATATTTTTTATATTATTATATTTATATTAAGTCTCCGAAGAAATGCCTAATTAGTTAATGATTAAATGCAAGCGTTGAATTAATCATATTGTTTATATTGTTTTTAATGCCACTATTTAAATTATTTTAGTTTTTTTTTTAAATATTTTTTGCTCTAGCCTGCCTTGAGATCTTTGCCTCCTGTGCGTGCGTGTTAGTTCCAGGAAGAGGATGTGCTCAGCCTAGCGCCTAATTTTAATAGGGGGTTACGTAAATCGATAATAATCGATAACCAAATATTAGTCTATCACTTGTATTTGGCAGTGTGTTGTTGCCATATATATATATATATATATATATATATATAACGAATATATATACATAACAACAAAACGGGACTGCCCTAAATATATAAATATTTTAGTTGCTTGCGTTAAATTTAGCTAAATGTCCTTGGATGTCGATTTCAACTTTTGTGTGTGCGCATATAGCAATCGATATCGTGCAAAGCCTGCGATTTGCTGCGAATTATTGCTGTCGATGATAGAAACTGTGGCGAATTGGTGCCAGTTGCGCTGGGCAGATCTAAAATTAGAATTTACAATTAATAATAAGTATAAAATTAACATAAAGTATATATAAGTATAATATATAAATAAGTGTAATATCTATAGGTATAATGTATATATATGAATATAAAGTATACTGTATATAAAAGTATAGAATATAATATGTACATAAACTATACTATATATACAATTATAATAAATATATAAATGATACTAATATGTATGCTAGTATAAAATACAGATAAGTATAGAATACATATAAATATAATATACATACAAGTAAAATATATACAAATTATACAACATATATAAAAGTATAATCTATATTTAACCGTAATATATACATATAAATCGAATAATATAAAAACAATTATAATATATACATATACATATATACATACAATAGGTACAAGTGCAATATATATATGATTATAAAATATGTACAAGTATTTTATATTTCCAAACAACATCTATAAATATATATATATTCATAACATATGCATAAATATAATATACATAAAGTATATATAATACTATAATATATATATAACATAATATACATACAAGTAAAAAACAAATCAAATATATATATAAAAGCATAGTATATACGCATATAAATATATTTAAATCAATTTAAAATCGCTCAAATATTACGTTCAGCGGCTCCAAATCTGGCCATTGTAGTTGCTGTTTTTGCAATATTATTGTTGCCACTGCTGCCACTGCCACTGCCACATCCACTCTCCACAGCCTGTTGTTCAAGGTTGCCACACTTGACGCTCGTCTTGCTGATGATGTCCGCCAGCAGATCCACAGGAACAGCGGCAGGTGAAGCAGTTGCCGCACAGAGATTGCCGCTATTATTATACTTAAAATCGGAACCAACGAGTCCAATGTGATTGACGCGTCCGCTGCAATTACTGTTATCGCGCTCGGAGGCAGCTGACGAGGTTGTGGCTGCCTCATGGCTACAATTGGTATTTAGGCCTGCAAAAATAAGATATTTAATTAACCAATTGAGAGAGTGATTGATGCAGATTAATGGTAATTGATTAATGGCGTGATTCTATATATAGCTACCCGTGACTGGTGACTGATCGCCGCTAATGCTGCCAATGCCCGCAGAGCTACCGCCACCGCAACTCAAGCTATTTGAGCCGCCTCCAGCTAATCCTCCACCGCCTCCACTGGAACTACTGGGTGGCCTGGGCAGACGGCGACGCAGCCAGGGATGTTTCAACGCCTCCGATGGCGTCAAGCGCTTCTCCGTATCCCACTCCAGGCAGCCGCGTATAAAGTTGAGAAATAGTGGATCCTTGCAGCCTTCAAGCGCCTTGGAGAGACTCTTCGAGCAGGGCGGACCACGTGGCTTGCCACGCCTCGACTGGCCGCCAATGAGGACGACCATGCCATCGGACATAGTGCGCACCGTGCAATACCGTGGATAGCCCTTCGGGCTGAAGAAGGTTTTCGCTCGCTTCGAACTGGCTAGCAGGGATTTGCTGGGCATACCCAACACTTCGATGATGCACGCCAATTGATCGCTTTCGTTTTCGCCCGGGAAGAGGGCGTGGCCGGAGAGCAGCTCCGCCAGTATGCAGCCGAGGGACCACATATCAATTGCCCGCCCGTATTTGGCGCCCAATATCACTTCGGGCGCTCGATAGAATCGAGATTGTATATACGTATAGACACGCTGACTCTCAAAGCAAGATGAACCAAAGTCGATGACCTGAAGGGGATATATATATATATAGTATTAGTATTATTATTATTATTATATTTACATATATATATATTTATTATTATATTTATATGTTAAGCTCTGTTAACAGATTGGCAGAAAGCGGCAAATTACAGCGAAATGGAAATTGTAAATGAAGAAAGAAAAAATTATTTAAGCGTTAAAAAACCGGACGAGTTAATTAATTAATCAATTAAAAAATTAGAGGCGAACAATTAATTAAAATGGTGTAAAGGCAAACAAATTAATAAATAAATTTGTTTTCAGCTGCCAGCAAAGCCCCTATTTTTATTTTTAGCTGCCACAAGCCAATTAAATTGCAATTGGAAAAATTAGTAAATTATCCGCGAAAAAAATATTTTAATTAATTAAATAAAAAGTTGTAGAGTAGAAAAGGAGATAATTAATTAAATTGTAGTAGAGGCTAGAAAATTAATTACCCAAAAAGTCATTTATTAGCAAAAAACTGATTTTAATTAATTAAATGAAAAGTTGTAGAGGGCAGAAATAATTAATGAATTCAAAAGTTGTAGAGGCTAGAAAATTAATTAAATAATTAAAAAGTTTTAGAGGAGAGATTTAATTATTTAAAATAATTCTCTTCAGCTAGCAGTAGAGCTTTTTTTTTGTTTTAAATCTATAAGCAGGCCTCTATGAAATAAAGAAAAGTGAACTCACCTTAATGCCCGATCGACCTTGTTGCTTGAGGAGGACATTCTCCGGCTTCATATCACAGTGGATAATCTCGTTCTTATAGAGTGCATCCAGACACTGTAAGAGTGAATGCGCAAATTTGCGCACCAGCTGCAAACTGAAACCCTTAAACCCGTTCTTCTTGATCAGCTCATAGAGATTGATGCTAAGCAGCTCGAAAGTGATGCAGGTGTGATTGCGAAATGTGAAATAATCATACATATGTATGATATTCATCGTATTGTATTTATCATGATGCCGCAAATGATGTAAAATGCGGATTTCTTCCTGCGCTTGCCGATGAAATCGTTTCTCATTTCGCACAATTTTTAGGGCAACATGTTCATGGGTTTTATGATCGTAGGCTTTGATCACCTGCCCAAAACTTCCCTTGCCAATTATTTTCAGCATTTCGTAGCGATAGGCGACATGATCGTGGGGTATGTGTATATAGGCACCCTGTTCATTATCATAATCGGAATTATTGGGCCCATAAATGCCGGGCCTCTTCTTAGCATTGGCGCCTATGAAATAAATTTGGGGATATGCCAGGATCTCTGTCCTCTCGTAGGGGGTTAGCTTGTGCATATAGAGTATCATCACTTGCTGGGGTGAGACAACCAATGCTTTGGGTTTATCCTGCAGCGCACTCTTCTGCTGACCCGACATTATTATTTGATCGTGAAATGTAAAATGTTCCGATTTCGTTTGATTTTGCGAAACTAAGGCCAGCGAATCGACGACGGCTGCATTTAACGAGAGCGATGTGGGCGAAACTTCCAAGGTGACATTGGGCAGAGAGCTCGCTGCAAATATATGGGGGAACATATAGAAATAATTAATTATAATTATATATATATATATATATATATATAGTGAACAAGATAGTAGAAGTAAATTCTAACTAATGTTATTTAACAGCTGTAGCACTAGTGTAATAGATATAAATATTTCGTATTATTTGTCTTTTATTTAAATTCTATATTAAATTTGATATTTAATTTAAACTATTTTTCACTTGTATTATTTTTTGTGTGAACTAACTTTAGTTGATAATAAATAAATAAAAAAAAGTATAAAGAAAGAGGTATTTCTATTTATGTCAGTATTTTCTCTTAGAAATATATAAATTAATATAGAATTTATCTAATAGAATATTATTTTTTAATTCTTAATTTAATTTAGTTTATGTGTTATTTATCGATTGACTTTAGTTGATATAAAAAAAGTAAATAAATAAACTAAGAATAAAATATAAAGAAATAAGAATAAAATAAAGAAATTAATATACAATTTAAGTATAATTTAACTAATTGAATTTGAATTTAATTTAAACTATTTTTTAGTTTCTGTATTTTTTAAGAATAAAGTAAAAGAACTCTTACTTTTACTACAAATATAAAAAGATATATATATATATATAAATTTTACCTTGAATAGTTCTGGAGATGCCGCAGCCATCTAAGCTAGAATCATGTTGCAATTCCTGTTGTTGCTGCTGCGTTTGTTGCAAAATATTATTAACATTAACATTGCCACAGCAGCTGTTAAGCTCCGCTGTTTGCGTTAACATTTTGTGGCGCTCCTGAAAAACGCCAGGGCCAGAATTGAAACTGCTGCTAAAAAATAAGGCGCCACCTCCAGTCGAACAATTTTCAACGCTTTTCGCTGGATTTTGAGTGGAAATTGTTGTTGAGGAGGATAAAGCGGATGAAGCTGAGGTTAATTTTAGCTGTTCCGGCTGCATATCGGCCGCCGTAAAAGTGCTCGCATCACGAATGGGATGCGTTGAATGCGCCTTGGGTTGAGAAGAGCCAACCATTATATTATTATTTAACTTGAGCTTATAATCGAAATGCGCTAGATTATTATTAAGGTGATTGTTATTTGAATTCAAATTGTGCCCCAGATTTATGGCTTTCAATTGCTCCTCGCGACTGGAGTTTGCCGCGGCTGTTGCCAGGGACATTCCTAATAAGCTCGGCGACTTTTGGACTTTATTTAAATAACCGATTTTATGTGACTCCAACACCAGAGACAAGTTATCAATTTTTGGCGCATGACTCTGGCAATTTTGCTGGGCGCATAATTCACTCAAATTGAACTCAGTTTGTTTGTTTCGCCACTCTTTTAAATTCTCCGAAGATTTGTTAGAACTTTGTTGTCGCCACCATTGCCGCGCTGCCTGTTTTTGCTCCAATTCGAGGCTCTCAATTAACAGTCTTGGTTTGGTTAAGCAAATTAAATTTTGCTCCTTGTGTTGGGGATTATTTAAGGGCCAGATGCGCAAGGGATTATCTAAAGAGCGGCTTTTTAATGAGGACAACTTGGGCTGTTGATCAGCTCTCGATTTATTGCGATCTTGTCTGTAATAATCTCTGTCATCGCTGAGATAGAAACGCGTCAGGCGTTGTTGTCTGCTTAGGGAGTGCTCCCGTTCCAGATATAATTGTTCCAGCTGCTTCTGTTCTCTTTTTTGCTCACTGTTTTGCTGCTTCTTTTGCTCCTGCTTCAGCTGCTCCTTCTTCTGCTCCGCTTTTTGCTGCTTCTTCTGCTCTTTTTGCTCTCTTTTTTTATCCTCTACTTGATGCTCCTGTTCCTCCTCTTTTTGCTGCTTTTTTTGCTCTAAAAACAAGCTTAGATTTCTATAGTTATTGCTCTCTCCCAGAAATTCACACGGAGTTGGCGTTCCACATCGACTTGTAGAGCAATCAGCGCCAATTCTGCTTCGATTGCGTCGCAATTGTGGCTCAAAACTTAACAGATTATATTGCGATTTGAGCAGTGTAATCGAAGTGGAAAGGGAACCAAAACCTGAAGCGGAACTTGCATCTCTTCCAAATGTGGAAGCTGTAGCTGTAGCCCAAGGTGTAGTCGAAGCTGTAGATGTAGCTATTCCCAAAGCTGAAGCAGTTTCTAAAGTCCAAGCTGAAGTCGAATTTGAAGCTGAAACCGTTCCTGGAGTTGTTCCTGTCGCTGAACCCTTTCCTGTAGCTGTTTCTTTAGCTATTCCTGTTGCTGTTGCCGTCTTGTAGTTTAAATAATTATTGTAGAAAGGAGTTGGTTGAAAACAGTTCCGATTTCTGCTTGCTCTGCGAATGGAGAACACATCGAAAGGGTGCTGCTCTGAGACGGTTCGATGAGGATTAGATGATTTAAACTGCTCCAGTTGCTCCTCCTGCTTCCGCAGTTCCTTCTCCTTTAACTCCTGCTCCTTCTTTTCCTTTCCCTTCAGTTCCGTCTTCGCCTGCTGCAGCTGCTCCTCCTTCAGCTCTTGCTCCTTCTGACTCTTCCGCTTCTGTTTCACCTGCTCCTTCTGCTCTTTCCACTGCTCCTCCTTCAGCTGCTGCTCCTTTTCCTTGCGCCCCTTCTGTTTCTCTTCCACCTTCTCCTTCAGCCCCTTCTCTGTCCGTTGCTTCAACTTCAGCTCCTCCCAATTCTCCTTTTGCGCCTCCTGCTTCTCCTTAAATTCTTTCTGTGCGGGCTCCGTCAGCTCCTCCTCTTTCAGTTCCTTCTGCTTCTTCACACGCTGCTCCACCTCTCGCTTCTCCTCTTTGTTGTTATTCTCCCTGCTCGTCGCTATTTGCCGACCACACAGCGCACTCAGCAAATTAAAGCTGAGCACATTTTTGACTGCATTTCTTGTGTGTGTTTGTTGCTCGTCTTTCTGCTCCCTTTTAATTAAACATTCCTCAAAACTTTTGCTGCGCTTTGTTGTTTTTGTTGTTTGCCTGCCACTGGGCTGCCACATCCAATAAAACGGCTGCGGTTGCTGCTAAACCTATTTGCATTTTAATTATATTGACTTCATTCACAATTATACAAAAGAAAAATCCATTTCAATGTGTGTGTAAAAAAAATGGAACCATAAAATAAGCAAATCGTATTTGTTAATATCGATATATCAACAAAATCAATATCGATATATGTTCCAACAACAAACACGGTCACACACTCTCACACATGCATACATATGCGTCCATTTGGCTCTGTGTATGGATGTCGGAATTGAACATATGTGTGTGTGTGTGTGCAAATTCAGCATTTGGCCTGCTAACAATGGTAACAACACACACACACTGTAGGAACTGGGCACGTTATTTGTTGTTCTCTAGCTGTATTTTTTATCTGCAGAACAATTGTATTAATTGTTTTGTGTTCATCGTTAAGCAGTTTTTTATTAAAGAATTTTCATTTGGCAGAAACACAGTGTGACCAAAACTCGTCTGATTCGCATGGGCACAGATGGTACCATTGCAACATTGCCACACTGCTGTGATATAAATTTATAAATGGTAGCACTTTTGCAGTGTATATTTTAGTTTTTTATTTATTATTTGGAATGTCAAAACTCATTTACGTATACATATTATTAAATGAATTTACATTTGGCAGAAACAGTATGCCCACAGTTTGACTTATGGGTCCACTGCAGCGCTGCCACTTTGCGGTATATATTCTTGTTTATTTTAATTGGAATGTAAAATATTAATTTGCGCTTTATTTATTTATATTTATTATTCATTTAATAAATGTATTTATTGTAGAAATAGCTGGCACATTTATTAATTAACTTTAATAAGCAGCCCAGCAGCAACTCTTTTATCGAACGTACTTATCGGCGCTGGCAAAGCTTATCAAGACAGTAAGTGCTATCGGCTTACCACCACGAGCCACCAAACAAGAAAATGTAAAAACGTTGATAATCAGTAATTGTTACAAATAATTTGGCATCTCGCTGCGCTTATAAAACAAATCACATAACTATTCTACTTAATTTAATTAATAAATAGTTATAATTGCAACAATGCTTAAATGAGTTTTTTATATCCAACGTGCAAAAAAACCACCCCGAAAAATAGGAAAACGACCACGGGAACTTGCTTTCAAATCTACTGAAACTATTTAATATGTATATATAAACATGTAATTAAAATCTGGAAGTTATATCAATAATAATTATGTGCAAATCGCAACAGCTGCAACACAAAGTGTAAGTGTTAAAATTAAATAAAGTGTTTCTTTTTTATTGGCTATTGGAATTTTGCTAAAATGGTACAAATATATGTACATGTATATATATGTATGTGAGTGTGTGTATTTGTAAGTATGTTTAAATTCTGTTACCACCCACGGCTATAAATATGTATGTATATACAATTATGCGAATATCTTAATGTTAATGCAAATGTTAATCTGTATGTGTGTCTGTTTGTGTATGCAAACTAGCGTTTAACCGTTATACACGTTATATTTGTACATATATTTTAACAGTGAGTATTTTTTTTTAACAGCCAATACACTTTCCCTCTATCGCTCTTGCATGTGGGTTTTCCACCCTTATGCGTAATACATGCTTCCAACTGGTTCAAGGTGGGTTTGAGCGGGTGTGTGGAGTGTGTGCGGAATGTGGTGGATTTTATTTGGGTCTTAGTTGCCCATTTCAAACGGACAAACTTGGATGAGCTTAGTCCCCTCCACCCATTTCACTTTCTGTTTACGTGTATGTGTATTATTTAAGCACAAGAAGCAGAATACTATAAATATAAAGATATATGAATAAATAATATGAATAAAAAAAATTGAATTTAATTTATTATCTACTTTGCGCAGGGCTCTTCGACAATTTTAATCGTGAGAAAAAGCTTCGCCAGCATCGGCCATGATTGATCCCAGCTCGAGTGAGGAAGATGGCGACGATGATACCGTTGTTAATTTGCCGCACAAGGGGCGTATTGGTGCCGCGCACAAAGCGCCACCTAGCGGTAACGCGGCAGCAACCGCCGCCGCCGCACAATCATCATCATCGATATCGACGTCGTCGCCGGGGGCGGCGAGCCTTGCAACGACAGCCATGCCAGCTTCCTCAACCGGTTCGCATATACAAAATGGTGACTATGCTGCGAATCAAAGACAAACAATGGCGGCAACTGCAAATAACCGTTTCGAGGGCAGTATCGTCAGTGGAGGGGGTGGGGGCGGATCAACAAAAAATGAGCAGAGCCAGCTGAGTGGAGAAGGTGGCAACCTTGAAGTGCCCAATAACGGTATTCCCAGGTTTGTGTTGATAATTTTTTGTATGTATAAAATAATATTTGTGAAATGTGCTGTTTTTTTGTTTGTTGGGTAAAATAAAGCGAATTTTTGTGGCTAAATCACTTTATATGCTGACAAATGCATTCATTTTCTTATATATATATAATATATATATCATTTTCTATACAAGTAAGATTGCTCAAGAAGGAAAAAAGATACTTAAGCCATTTATTGATTAGCTTTAATTTTATTTATGCAACAACTAGCGTAATTTATTTAATTTTATTAATACTTGTTAATTAATAATAAAAAAAAAAAATAATTAAATCATAATAAACTGCAGCCATTTAAAATAAAAGTAAAATAATATATATTTTATTAATTAATATATCAGCTTAATGTTATTAAGACTTGTTTACTTATTATAATTAAATTTAAATAACATGTAATAAGAAAAATCTGGCTGCATGGTATTTCTTAGTTGATCACAGCATGCTTATTTGTTGTTGCTGGATAGGTTTTGCCCGCTTAAGAAACGAGTAAGCGAAGCTCGCTGGTAGAAGCGCTGTCAGCCAATCAAATTCAACCACAGAGCTATCTCTCTCTTGCTCACTCTCACTACGAGCTTTCTTACTTGTTTTTTTTTTTTCAATCGTTTAATTGAAAAATATTTTTTATTTTAATTGTTGTCCACAATAAATTGAATTGCAAAACTTAACTCTCAATATAAATATATAATCATTTTTTTCGGGTTTTCAACGTTCATCCAAATTATGCACAAAAAAATATATACAAAATATATAAAAATTAATTAAAAAAAAAAATTAAATATTGGCACAACGCAAAAAAACAAAACTTAACAATTCGAACAACTAATAACAATTACAATAATAATTACAACGCACAACTATATATATATATATATATATATATATATGTATATATATAATTAAATGACCAATATATAAATATATATATACATACATTCATGCAACGATTTTTGAGTGTGGATGGTTTAAAAATTGGCAAAAAAAAATAAACTACAAAAATCTACTAAAAAAAAAAAAAAAAAAACATCCATATCGAACATCGACTATCTAACATCGCACATCGATCTCATTAACATTTGATCACGAACATCTAACGGGGAACTGGTCTGATCGATGTTGCTCGGTTCCGCTACCGGTTCCGGTTGTGCTACTGGTTCTGCTACTGGTTCAATTTTTATAGAACGAGATTAACACACGGCAATAGTCGCATTATAATTCAACAATTATGCCCGCCAGCGTCGGCAGCAGCAGCAGCGGCAGCAACTCATCATCATCTACAAAAAAAAAATGATTATCAGCAGCATCATCATCATTATAATCCAAATACAAATCAAAAATTTCAAATTGATTCTGGTGTTGTGGGTGGGGGGGTTGGTTGTGGTGGTGCAGCTGCAATTCACCACATGCTAAGATTAAAAGCTCCACCGTCAACACAACTGTTAAGCACCAACAACAGCAACAACAACAGTAACTACACTAACAGCAGCCACATTAACAGCATCATCAGCAGCAGCTTTAACAGCAGCAGCAGCTGTAATAATAACAAAAAAACATTGCTATCGTCATCTAGCGGCATTTCGCAAGAGACCCTCAACCAGAGCGTTGGATCGTCGCGCGCGAACTCATTGCCACGCCCCCTGTCACCGTCGCCATCGGTTGTCAGCGATAAGCACGATGGCGGCGATCCACATGTGAGTACCGTTATAGCTGTTACACTTGCCTGCAAAATAATAGTGCCACATGTTATATTATTTGATAATAATAATTTATTGGTCATATTGTTATTATTATTTTGAGCGTGACTGTATATTTAAATAAAAATAAACTACCTTAACAGTTTTTAATACTTTGCAACAGTGTTACTATTATTTTGAGCACAGCTGTACACATAAGCAAACACTATTAACTCATCTATCGATGTGGTTTTTTGTTTTAAACAGGAGAAACACGAACGGGAAGAAGAAGAACGCAAGCGTCGCATTCAATTGTATGTGTTTATTTCACGTTGCATATCGTATCCATTCAATGCCAAGCAGCCAACGGACATGACCAAAAGGCAACCGAAGATAACCAAACAGCAGCTGGAGATAATCACTCAGCGATTTCAGGCAAGCAATATTTGCTAAAAAAAAAAAAAAAATAAAAAAAAAAATTATTTTAAAACTTTTCTACTATTATTATTAATAAATGAAAAACTGTAACTAATTTATATTTATTACTATTAATAGCTAAAAACAAGTCAAAACTAAAACAATTAGTATATTTTAATTATTACATATATTAACATTTACAAGTATATTTTTTCTTATTATTATTAAATTAATACTTGTAAATCATTAATCATATTAATAATAACATTAATAGCTAAAAAAAGGGCAAAACAAAAACGATTACTATGTTTTTATTATTATTAATTATTATATATATATTTAATTTCTTTCGCAGGCATTTCTCAAGGGGGAAACACAAATAATGGCCGATGAAGCTTTTCAGAATGCGGTGCAAAGCTATCACGATGTTTTTCTCAAATCGGAGCGTGTTACGAAAATGGTTCAATCCGGAGCATGCTCCCAGCACGATTTTCGTGAGGTTTTCCGCAACAACATTGAGAAACGTGTGCGGTAAATATTAAATATGAAATCATTAATCTAAGTCTATATTTATAATATATATATATATAAATATATTTATAGTTCTCTTCCCGAAATTGATGGCTTGAGCAAGGAAACTGTTTTAACATCTTGGATGGCCAAATTCGATATAATTCTGAAGGGCAGCGGCGAAGAGGACACAAAGCGACCCTCACGCATGCAACAATCCTTAAATAGCGAATTAATCCTGTCCAAGGAACAACTTTACGATATGTTTCAGCAAATTCTATCTGTGAAAAAGTTTGAACATCAAATTCTATTTAATGCGCTGATGGTAAACTTTAAATTGAAAAAGAATTGTGTATTTAAATTAATACTTATATTATTATTTAGTTGGATTCGGCTGATGAGCAGGCTGCGGCGATTAGACGTGAATTGGATGGTCGAATGCAGCGTGTTGGCGAAATGGAAAAGAATCGGAAGCTAATGCCAAAATTTGTGCTTAAAGAAATGGAATCACTTTACATCGAGGAATTGAAATCGTCCATTAATTTGCTGATGGCCAATCTGGAATCACTGCCAGTCTCCAAAGGCAATATGGACAGCAAATATGGGCTACAGAAATTGAAGCGCTATAATCACAGGTAAATGTATATTAATTGTAGATATTAATGCTATAGAGATATAAATTATAGATGTGCATGTTATAAATTAAAATTGATGATATATTAATTGAATATATTAATAAAGCTATAAATATATATTATAGATTATTATATTTGCATTAATTGTACATATATTTTTAAATTATTTACATTTACTTGTCTGCTTTTCTATTCGATTTCTTGCGCCTACTTCTGGATAATTTCGATGTCACAGTACACCATCATTTTTGTAAGTATTAAAATAGATCTACTTTTAATATTATAAGTTTAATTACCTTCTATTCTCATAACAAATAAATAGAAAAATGATTCTACGCTCGCATGGATCTCTGTCTAAGCTCGAAGGTGACTCCGAGGATGGCACCACCCAATTAACTAAACTGGATGTGGTGCTGACCTTTCAATTAGAAGTGATTGTGATGGAGGTGAAGGGCCTCAAATCTCTGGCACCCAATCGCATTGTCTACTGTACCATGGAGGTGGAGAACGGTGAAAAGTTGCAAACCGATCAGGCCGAGGCCTCAAAACCAATGTGAGTGTTATAAATAATATAGACTATATATTTATATATTATATATTCCTAATCCAGGTGGGATACTCAGGGGGATTTTACGACCACGCATCCTTTGCCTGTGGTGAAAGTGAAGCTGTACACCGAAAATCCAGGCATGTTGGCGCTGGAAGACAAAGAGTTGGGCAAAGTGACCATTAAACCAACGCCACTCTCTTCCAAAGTAAGCGACGGGATAAATAATGAATTAAAATAAATAATAATTAATAATTAATGATTTCTTGTAGTCTCCCGAATGGCATCGCATGATTGTGCCCAAAAATTTACCCGATCAGGATGTAAGAATTAAGATTGCCTGTAGGTTGGATAAACCATTGAATATGAAGCATTGTGGGTAAGTGTAGAAAAGTAGAGATCTACTTATTAAAATATAGTAAATATTTTATTATTGCTTTATTAATGCTTATTTTATTATTAAAATTTACTTTTTGTATTATTAATATTTACTTATTTTGTTAATAATATTTGTTTTTATAGACATCTCTTCGCAATTGGCAAATCGGTGTGGAAGAAATGGAAACGTCGTTATTTTGTCTTGGTTCAAGTCTCGCAATACACATTTGCAATGTGCAGTTATAAGGAAAAAAAATCGGAACCATCCGAAATGATGCAGCTAGATGGTTATACCGTGGACTATATAGAAGCTGCTAGCGGTATTTACTATTTAAAACTATTTATATATTTTGTATATATTAATTATTATAATATTTCTATATTTATTTCTATTTATAGCAAATTTGATGTTTGGCATCGATTTGAATGGCGGTCGATTTTTCTTCAATGCGGTACGAGAAGGCGACAGCATTGCATTTGCCTGTGACGATGAGAACGAGTGCAGTCTTTGGGTAATGGCCATGTACAGGGCAACGGGACAATCGCATAAGCCAACGCCGCCAATTACACAGGACAAGAATTCGGCAATGTCAAAAATTCAGGGTGGTAAGTTTGTCAGAGAGTTTAAAATACCTCTGTGTATGTATTATATTATATATATATATTATTGTTATTATATTATTTTTATTATTATATACATTTAATCTAGATGCCGATAAGGCGCGCAAGCATGGCATGGAGGATTATATAAGTGCCGATCCCTGTACCTTCGATCATGCAACACTTTTTAAGACATTACAAAACTTGACGCTCGAATATCGCCTAAGTGATCCCTACGCATCGTTGGTAAGCTAATAAATATATTTTATATTTCAAGTAAATTGATTATACTTAACTTATTTTAACAGGGTTGGTTTAGTCCGGGTCAGGTATTTGTTTTGGATGAGTATTGCGCCCGTTATGGTGTTAGGGGCTGTTATAGACACCTGTGCTACCTATCTGATCTGTTGGATCGTGCTGAGAAACAGCACATGATCGATCCGACACTGATCCATTATTCGTTTGCATTCTGTGCGAGTCATGTACATGGCAATAGGTAAAGTATCTGTCAAATACTCAATATTTATATCTCTATATATAAATATGTATATAATTATATATTTAAACACTAAGTTATATAATAATGTGTGATTTCTTTTTCTTCGGGCACTCGCTGAGTTTAATAAGTGTGTGTATCCATATTCCTGTCGCATCTCGATTATATATATATATATATATATATATATATATATATATATCTTTAACTGACACTTGAAAATTTGAGGAAATTCTTAGAAAGGGCGCAAAAGTGAACTAGTTCCCTTGAAAAATTATCTGCTTAGCTACTGTAAATTGTCAACTTCTTGAAAAAGTTTGATTATATTAATAGCAGGTTTTTTTGTAATTGGCAATTCCTTAAACAAAATTAAATTTTATTAGTAGCAGCTTACCTTTTTATTTCATTTAATTTGGCAACTGCTTGAAGAAGTTATTTTTTATTAATTGGCAAGTCGGTCAAAAACTAAATAGAAGACTGCTTGTAGAAAGCTTTCTTGCTTTCGATTGGCAACTCCGTAGAAAATTAGCTGACATTTAATAAAAATACTCTATATGAAGGAACTTAACTCGAATGTAGTTAAATACATATCAATTTGTCCATATATACATACATATACATATATATATATATATGTATATATATATATATATATGTATATATATAAAATATATATAAAAATAGCTGCGCAGCAAACACGACATCAAAAAGGAAAAGCTTAAGACAGTAAAGGAGAACAGTGCACAAGGAGAAACAGAAGCTGGCTGCTGCGACACGCCTTCCTCTACTCAACCAGTTGTTGCTTCTCAGTTACATCAGGGTACTACGAGCAGCATGGATCAATCAACAACGCCGAAGCTGACAATGGATGGCGCTGCTACCGCTGCTAGTAATGGAGCGCCACCTTTTCGTTATTGTATGCCAACACATGCGGTATACACATCGCCAGTACCAACGGCACGTACTCTCCTCTCTCTCACACTCACTCGAAAGCTCTCTTTTTATTAGATAAGCATTGCATTTCTAACATACACACATGCATACATACATGAAGTTACACACACACACGCACAGGCAAAAAGGAACAAAAAAAAAATTGCAATTCAAATTACATAATTAGCACATGTCGCGTGTGCATATAAATTAAAGAATTAAAATAAACTGCAGGCAGCGACGTACACTGTTATTTAGTATTACTGTAAATAGGATAAACGTTTTTAGGATCACTTAAATTCCTGATTTCCCTCCTCACCACTTATAATGTATTTGTAAAAGTTGTGTGTATGTTGTATAAAAGCTTGTCCTGATCGATGTAACATTATGTGTGCATGCTTAACAGTGTTAGACAACAGAGACAGGGCATGAGCATGTCAAGCACATACCTCTTCTTACTCTTCTTATACTTCATGTGCCTTATGTGTATATGTGTAGGTGGTGATCGTATGTAAAAAGTATTTATTTTGATTTGCTACTGTTAATGTTTAACATAACTATCTGTGACTCTTCGTTCTCCCTCTGTTACTCTTCTCTGTTAATTCGCTTAATTCGCAGAGCGACTAAAACTTACATACATACATACATATATATATACATACGCCTAAAAGCTTTCAGCTGGTTGGTTAGCATATGTTAGTAATGTGAGGCATATTTCCATTTCCCCGATATATATATGATGTCTTAGTGTTAAAAGCATGTGTGCGTGCGTGAGTGTATTTTGTACTTAGGCTCATCTATTTCTGTCTTCCTATAATACGCAATTAATTAATATCTCAATTGAAAAATGTACCAGCAATCATTTCTACATAATAAACAATTAACTAACATTAACATTAACACACACACACATATATAAATACATACATACATATATACACATAGATGTACATACATACATACATAATGCACGCCTCTCATAACTCATAATCAACACATAATATATAATATAAAAATATATATATTCATATATATTTAATATGTATAAAAATATATTTTAACATTTGCAGAAATTAAATTGCACTCATACACACATATTTAATAGCCGGGTAAATTTATTTATAAATACATTTATATCTAATTTTTACAACTTAATTATGAGCTGTTAAAATATATATAATATAATTATGAGCTGTTAATATGTACCTTGTGTGCAGGTTTTATGCTTGAATTAAAGCTTTTGCTTAAGGCTAACTTAACAGCCAGCCTGTAATTCAATTTCTTAATTAAATTGAATTAATTAATTTTTGCGAATTTCAACAAATCGATCGGTTAAAACAGCCTGTAAGTCTAATTAATTATAATTATAAAGCGTGCAATTAATTTCTACAAATGTGTAAATATTTCATGAATTAACGAAAATTGAATTGTGTAGAAAACAAAAACCCCATATATATGTTTTGATCGTATATTAGAATATATATATTTAAGACTCCACATAGTGTTTTGTTCATCATATATAATTAAGATTTAATTCTTTCTTTATTCCTTGATCTTTTCTTAATTGTGTTGTTTTTTATGTAGGCATTTGCTTGGTTCAGCGATCTACTGGTTGAACATGCGGAAATATTTTGGTCTCTATTCGCAGTTGATATGGACAGAGTTTTGTCCGAACAAGCACCAGATACCTGGGACTCATTTCCCCTTTTTCAAATACTTAACGATTACCTAAGATCGGATGGTAAGTGAATGAAAATGAAAAAACAAAGTTTTCGTTTTGCTATTTATTGAAATGCTTATTTTTAATATTATTCCTATTAGTATTTCCCCTATAAATTTAATTTATATATATTTTTTATTTATTATTTTTAATTTTCTTTATTTTTTTTTTTAAATATTTTATTAAAGCTTATAGATTTTGTTTAAATTTTAATTAAATTCAAATAGGCTGTTAAAGTTGAATAAAATTAAGGTTTTTTTTCTGTTTCCCTTTTTATCTAGAATATTTTGCCATTTTTTAAAATATTTTCATAAGTTGCTTAAGTTGCTTTACAAATTTAAAACAATTCTTGTGAGTGTTATTTTGTTATTATTGTTATTATTGATTTCTTTTTTAGATAACTTACGAAATGGAAGATTTCACCAGCATTTGCGTGATACTTTTGCTCCGTTGGTTGTTCGTTATGTGGATCTGATGGAATCATCCATAGCCCAATCTATACATAAGGGTTTCGAGAAGGAACGTTGGGAAAGCAAGGGGTAAGTCTAAATCTATATTATCTAAATATATATAGAATATCGCATTGATTTGGCAGCATGTACATACATACATAAATACATTTCATATACATAAATATAATTTATAATAAGGCTATAAATATAAATTCAAAACAGTGATTATCTTAAGAGACCCAGGCACAATTTATAAACGAATATTACAAATATGTATATATTTACGTATGTATTAATATACATGCATACATATGTATATATATATATATATATTATGTACAAAGCAAGCGCATAGATTATACAGTTGCGGCAAAATTAATAGGACCATTTTGAAAAGGTTTAAAAACTGGAGAAAGACTTAAAAAGAAAAAAAAATCAAATTAAATAAATTAAATTTAATGAAAAAGTAAATAAACGATTGCTATAAATGAATTTATTTACTACATTTTGACAGTTTTCAATGAAATAAAATAAAAATATATTGAAAAGAACTTTTATTTATGAAAGATGTGCTATTATTTTTGCCGCAACTGTTATTTATTGTGTGTATATGTGTATACATATTTTCGCTATTGGTGTGCAAGCATTAATGTTAAGCAGTTGGACTTACAAAACGAAACGAAAATTAAGCTTAGGCTCAACTTCTGTATGTGTGTGTGTGAGAATAATAAATGCTACATACACACACACACACACACACATACAGTGTCTCATAGCTCATCAGGGACAGTGTCTAGCAAAAAATTTAAAGAGCTATAAGGTTTAAACAAAAATACAAACGCAAAATGTTTAAATGCCAATTTGTTTCATTTTATATCACATTTAAAAAGGAAACTTTAGTTTTTATTAAAATATTAATTAATTAACTAAAATTAGTCAAAAACTGAAAACTTATCCAAAATACAGGTCAAAGCTTATTTCGACAGTCTTAGAAAAGTAACATATTAGGCGTATAAAAACTTAAATAAGGATGTTCATACTTAGTATGATATCCTTTAGCGTTAATAACTTCCCTTAACCTATTATTCATGGAAGATACCAGCTTCCGGGTAGTTTCTGGACAGATTTTGCTCCAATCATCCAGCAGAGCATTTTTGAGATCGGATCTGTGATTCCGGATGTTATTTTCAAGCGGAGCCCACAAATTTTAAATAACATTTAAATCTGGAGAGTGGGCCGGTGGAATTATCATGTGGGGGCAGTTCCAGATATGCCAGGACTGTACTAATCCGGACTTATGCTTGGCTGTTGTCCTGGCCGTTGTCGTGGTAGAACCGGAAAGAACGCCGGATTCCTAGCTTCTCGACACTTTGGAGTACATTTTCCTTTAATATATTGAGATACACATTCTTGTCCATTGTTGTTTCAATGAACACCAAATTTCCGACACCGGCTTCCGAGATAGATGCCCACACCATGACACTTCCTCCGTCGTGCTTGACTGTTGCCTTTAGGTGTTTCGAATTCATCTCAGTATTGGACTGTCGCCACACATAGTTCCGTCCGTCTAAGCCAAAAATGTTGAATTTGGGCTCATCTTCAAATATGAATGTGTTCCAGAACTCAAAATCCTTGTCCAAGTGGGATTTGACAAATGTCATCCTAGTCCCATTATTTTTTTGGCGGTTATAAAGGGCTTCTTCCGTTGTACTCGGGGTGCGCAGAACCCGGTGCACAGTTTCCATACTGCACTTTTTCCCCATTCCATCCTGCACCTGTTGAGTCAGTTTTGGAGCCGATAGCTTGTGATTTTCCCTTATTTTCCTGATGATCCTCCGCTCCTCCTGTTCGGTGAAAAACTTGTTTGGTGCCTTTCTGCCCTTGTCCTCTATCCGATTTTCGTCGACGAAGCGCCGAATGATGTTGAATACAGTTGATTTGCTTAGATTTACCATTTTAGCTATTTGGCGATATGAATATCCAATATTGAAATGTTCCAGGATGAGATTCCGTTGTTCAATGGTAGTCCGCTTGCCCATAGTCCTTTTTGGCTGGTTACATCCGAGATGCAGGATATAACTAAACTGACTACGAAGGATTGGTCTATTTATACCGAAAATAATCAACCTGACGTAAAAAATCCGGGATTATGGCACCCAGGTGTCCATAACGCCCCTGGTTCAAATAATTTATGACCATAAATAAAGGTTCTTTTTTACATAACCAGGCCTAGCCGGAGAGGAAACCCCAGTTTATTGGGATCATATATTCATTATGGTGGTTAATATATGTACCTGGCATCGATATTTGGAATTTTTGAAAAATATTGTATAATTAGTTTATGGCAGGCAATTAAAATTGTTGCTAGGCACTGTCCCTGATGAGCTGTGAGACACTGTACATACACATACACAAACACAAACACATACACATACACATCCACATACACATACACATACACATACACATACACATACACATACACATACACATACACATACACATACACATACACATACACATACACATACACATACACATACACATACACATACACATACACATACACATACACATACACATACACATACACATACACATACACATACACATACACATACACATACACATACACATACACATACACATACACATACACATACACATACACATACACATACACATACACATACACATACACATACACATACACATACACATACACATACACATACACATACACATACACATACACATACACATACACATACACATACACATACACATACACATACACATACACATACACATACACATACACATACACATACACATACACATACACATACACATACACATACACATACACATACACATACACATACACATACACATACACATACACATACACATACACATACACATACACATACACATACACATACACATACACATACACATACACATACACATACACATACACATACACATACACATACACATACACATACACATACACATACACATACACATACACATACACATACACATACACATACACATACACATACACATACACATACACATACACATACACATACACATACACATACACATACACATACACATACACATACACATACACATACACATACACATACACATACACATACACATACACATACACATACACATACACATACACACATACACATACACATACACATACACATACACATACACATACACATACACATACACATACACATACACATACACATACACATACACATACACATACACATACACATACACATACACATACACATACACATACACATACACATACACATACACATACACATACACATACACATACACATACACATACACATACACATACACATACACATACACATACACATACACATACACATACACATACACATACACATACACATACACATACACATACACACATACACATACACATACACATACACATACACATACACATACACATACACATACACATACACATACACATACACATACACATACACATACACATACACATACACATACACATACACATACACATACACATACACATACACATACACATACACATACACATACACATACACATACACATACACATACACATACACATACACATACACATACACATACACATACACATACACATACACATACACATACACATACACATACACATACACATACACATACACATACACATACACATACACATACACATACACATACACATACACATACACATACACATACACATACACATACACATACACATACACATACACATACACATACACATACACATACACATACACATACACATACACATACACATACACATACACATACACATACACATACACATACACATACACATACACATACACATACACATACACATACACATACACATACACATACACATACACATACACATACACATACACATACACATACACATACACATACACATACACATACACATACACATACACATACACATACACATACACATACACATACACATACACATACACATACACATACACATACACATACACACACATACACATACACATACACATACACATACACATACACATACACATACACATACACATACACATACACATACACATACACATACACATACACATACACATACACATACACATACACATACACATACACATACACATACACATACACATACACATACACATACACATACACATACACATACACATACACATACACATACACATACGCATACGCATACGCATACGCATACGCATACGCATACGCATACGCATACGCATACGCATACGCATACGCATACACATACACATACACATACACATACACATACACATACACATACACATACACATACACATACACATACACATACACATACACATACACATACACATACACATACACATACACATACACATACACATACACATACACATACACATACACATACACATACACATACGCATACGCATACGCATACGCATACGCATACGCATACGCATACGCATACACATACACATACACATACACATACAAGAGAGTACAAAAAAGCTCTGCCATCCTCGCACTCTCCCGCTCGTTCGCTCTCTCGACTCCATTTTCATTGCAAATTTTAAATATTCCCCGTATGTATATGATTTTTTCGATGATATTTAACAAATATTCTGATGTGACCACTATATATATATAAAAGGATAAACGCCGCCTTGAATCCGACCGCATTAAATAATGCAGCGCAGGCGCTAAACACGGCAGCCCTCAACCCCGCCGCTCTGCTCAGCGGCAAGAAAGATCAAGTCAATTTCTATGTGCCGAAGTTGCCAAGGCGAACTGCGGCTGCTGATGAAATGAGGTTTTTCTTATCTACATACATAGCGTTCTCTCTCTCTCTCTCTCTCTATTTGCATTACGTTGTTGTTGTTTTGCTCTGCATAATATTTATCCTAGAGCTTTTTTAGCGCCATAACATTAACATTCACTGTTGTTGTTCACATGCAAATGTTAAATAAATGTTATTAAATATGCTTATGACAAGTAGTAATTTAAATAATTAGTAAATATAAGACGATTTTATAATTTTAAATATCACAAATAAATAAATTGTTGATCTTCACATACATATACATATTATATGTATAACATTCATATCTAATTTTTACTTTGTTGTTTTACGTTATGGCTTGGCTGTAATTAAAAGTTCACATTTCACCTTAAACTTGAGCTGAGAACGATCGACCGTTATGTTAGCACTCACCTTAGCCTACGTTATTGCGTTACGTAACATTAGCGGCAGCTTAACATTAACATATTGTTGGCATTGCACTTGGGTATTTATTCATCATTTATAGTATATATATGTATGTATAAATACATTAATTATATTAATATCGACATCAAGCTAAGTTAATTCCATACGCAGATTTAAAATCACATTTAAGTCTACTTAAATTATTATTAATGTTAATATGAATATAGCTTTATTGCCTGTAGTGAATGCAAAAGATTTGTTTGGACGCTGTTTTTTGGCCATAAATGTTAAATGCGCTTACGTAGGAAGATTGCGTAGTTGAGTCTTGTATGTATATAAATATTTAAATCATATATATAAATAAACATTTAAATAAATATATACACATACAAATATATTTCTGAGTAGGTTTAGACGAATTACTTTTAGTATTAAAAAAAAATAACTGCATTGAATGAAATCGAAAATAAATGATTAAATAGTTACTTAATAATTGTTTTCTGTATTTTCCATTATTTAGAAATGGCTGTGCGACTTCTGAGGATCTATTTTGGAAATTGGACGCATTGCAATCGTTTATACGCGATTTACACTGGCCAGATGCGGAATTTCGTCAGCATTTGGAGCAACGGCTGAAAATGATGGCCGTTGATATGATTGAGCAGTGTATACAGCGAACGGATGCATCGTTTCAATCGTGGTTGAAGAAAAATGTTGCCTTCATATCGACCGATTATATAATACCGTCAGAGATGTGCGCCATGGTAAATGTGATATTAGATGCTAAAAATCAAAGCTTTAAATTAACTACCATTGATGGTATTGATCTGGTAAGTGCAGCGATTATTGATGATTGAATGATGACCGATTAATTAATCTATTTATTTATTGTAGTACAAATTTCATGCGAAAATTGATGATCAAATTGACAAAGCGAATGTGGCGATGACACAAGGCCTCAGTGGCAAACTTATGTCAGTGCTGGAGTCGACTTTGTCAAAATTGGCCCGTTACGATGAAGGTAGCCTAATTGGCTCCATTCTTAGCTTTACGAATGTGTCCAGTTCCGGCAAGGATCTCGGCCAGGGCTATGTGAATTTCTTTCGCAATAACATGGATCAGATTCGCGGCAAAATCGGTGATGATCTCTGGACCCTCAACTTCTTCGAGCAATGGTATTGCCAGCAAATCGCCTTGCTCTCTACGTGGCTCTCGGAGCGTATGGATCATGCCCTACACTACGCCCAGGTCACCTCCATCTCTCACATCATAAAGGTAAGAGAGAAGCTTAAAATATATATATAAATAAATAAGGAAAAAAAGCAAAAAAACTAAAAAAAATAACGTTTCGATTAAACGGGCTTATTTCTTATCTGATCTTGTCAATCATATGCTCAATAATTTGCATATTTATATTTATATATTAATTTTTAAATATATATTATTTATATAAATTTGAAGTCAATTACAAGTTAGTTTATGTATATATAATGTATATTTATTATTATTCATATCAATTAGAATACACTGCCTTTAAAATGATGGTTTTGATTTTATATTCCGAAAAACAGAAAATCTACTCGGACTTTGAGCTGCAGGGTGTGCTCGAGGGACAAACTGAATTCAAAATCATATCAGACAGTTATACAACGAATGACTGCTGAGGAGGCGACTTGTGCCCTGACAATGCCCGACGTAGCCGATGGCGATGAGTAAATATAATTCTAATTTTTGCTAGGAATTTATTTAATACATTGAAGGTTCTCGTGTAGAAACGGCGACGATGTACGCAATGGGGATGAGGAGGATGCGGGAGATGAGGCTGGTGGTGCTGGTGGATCCTCATCGCGTGGTGGCATGCCAAAGGCTAAGATGGGTGCCTCGCAGGCGGCAGCTGTTACCAATGTGGTAGCTGGGCGTGTTGGTAATTTACTGGGCAAGGGCATTGGTGGACTTAGCTCGAAGCTGGGAAGCGGCGGTTGGTTCTAAATTTAAGTTCATATCCAGCTTTATTTCTCATTTTCACTTCCCAGCTTAATTTGAGCCAAAACACCAACAAAAAAAAAAAAATAATAATATAAACAAGAATATATGTAAAGAGCATTACTATATATATATATATATACATATATATCTATATATATTCTCAATTTAATATGGCCAGCAGTCTTAGCATATATAATATATATATTTTTAATGTATTATAATACCAACTTATGTTCACTTTAAGCAGGAACAGTTCTTTCTTGTAGCAATTACTGAAAATTCATTTGAAATACAGTTAAAAAAAAATACACAAAACAAATCGTAAACAATATTACCTCTTAAATATATTATACGATTATCAAATATACAATTTACAAATTAATTAATTATTGGAAAACTAATTCTCACTTATTAAATTATACTACATGCATATTTCTTTATCAGCAGCATTACTTTTTTTGGTTTGTTGTTTAGTACAATATCTAGCAAAATAATCTTCCAGCATAAACAATTGTATTATGTAAAATAAGAACAATGGCGGGAAAATTTGTGTTCCCTTCATTTGAGCTTAATTTAAAAATATATATCGGTTTGTTTTAGTGCAGACTGAGATTAAATAAACTATCTACCCACATTATGTATAAATGTTTATGGTTAAAAAATAATATCTAACTTCATAATATAAATATATATTTGGCCTTTACCACAATAAATGACATAAGCAGCTGGCAACAAAAAATAAATAAATAATTTTTATTAAACGTCAACTCTTCACTTTAAGCAATTATATCTATCAGATATATAAATATATATATATATATATATATATTTATGTATATATATAAATTTATATTCTGCTTACGTTTTAATGATTGCAAATAAAAAATGTATTCAACATTTAGCGTTCATTTTAGTTATTTATTAAAAAAAAACTTAAAAGTGTGTATGTATGTATTTATGTTAATATATAAGAATAAATATATACGAACAGATGAATTGATATATTCCAATATATATACATATATATATATACATATATATGTATTCAAATTATACAGCAATTTTACTTTTGTTTGGCAATGAAACCCAATGTGGTGTGGTATTTGCTGCTGGGGAAATTCTAAAAAAAGCACAGCTCTCATCGTCCTCAGGCAATTTCCATTAATCGATAACAATAATCGGTTTAAAAATAAAAACCGCCCAAATTGAATTAAAAAACTGTGTTTTTTCTCTTGTCAACATGTTTTGTTTGTTGTTTTTTATTAAACTGTATTTGATTTGATATTTTCATTTAAATATCCTACATTTATTTTTTGTATTTACCAATTTAATGTTTCTTTGATTTTCTTATGTGAATGCTTGATTATTTCTTGTTCATTATGCATATAATATAACTACTATCTGTGTAATAAGTGTGGGTGTATGAAAGCACACCAGCATATTTCAGGCTGAGGTGTGTGCGATAGGGAGAGTGCGGTGTGTGCGGACTTCAACATAGAACGTAACTATCGGAATACGGATATATCCATCCTATCCGATAGTCAAGCAGCATTGAAAGCTATAATAGGGACTAAGATAACATCGAAGGTAGTCCATGAAGTTCGTTCAAAGCTAGACCTGCTCGGGACTCACAACAGGCTCACCCTACGAGGGGTCCCGGGTCACAGGGACATAGCGGGAAACGAGGCAGCTGACAAGCAAGCAAGAATGGGGGCAGAAAGGCCCCTAACAGGACCAGAACCGTATTGTGGCATAGGGAGACACACTATACGACTGGATCTTAGAAACGAGGAGAGACGGAGACGGCATCAGAGCTGGTCAGAGGCAGTAGGACTCCGACAAGCCAGATGTCTCCTTGGTGGTTATAATCTTGTATGGGAAAGAACAGCCTTAGGATACTTACCGGTCTATTGACAGGACACTCTAGACTAAGGAGTCACCTGACAAAATTGGGTATATATAGTAGCGATCTCTGCAGGTTTTGTGAAAGAGAGGAGGAATCCTCGATGCACATCCTGGCAGAATGTGTCGCCTTAATTTGAAGAAGAAGCAGCATCCTAGGGGCTCATGTTTTCAATTGCAAAGACATAGTAGACCTCAACCCAACAAAGATCCTTACGTTCGTAAGGGAGTTGGGGCTGATGGAAGAGCTATAAGGCTCAGAAGTGGGCACAATAGATCAAATAGGTCGCGGTGCAGCTTCCCCCCTAATAATAATAAGTATTTATTATATATGTATTTATTTATATATATAGAACACTTTGTAAATCTATATATATGTGTATTTATTATATTAATTAATATTATATTTAACCTCTTTACTAATTACTATTGCCTACTTACAGTTTAGAGAGCTACTAAAAAATAAACGGAACAGTTAACCAATAAGTGTAATTTATTGATTTAGCTTATTTTTTTATTCTTATTGTTTTAATGCAAAAACCAGCGTAAATCGTAATTAACTCTGCTTCTTCATATCTGCTTTTAAATACACATGCACACACACACAAAACGCTCACGATTAGACAGGGTGACTCAGGAGCAATAATACTCAGTGCCATTACGAGCCGCGAGATCGAACGTCTGTAAAGCTCAGGCGCACAGAAAAAAGCAGGCCGATTCAAAGCTCTGCATATCAGCTATGTATGTATGTTATATATGTACACGTCTTGTTTTAATTTAATATTTTACTTAACAGTCTTTTTATAATTGGCAATGGCTTAACACACATTGTTGTGCTTACATATGTATATGTGTTTGTGTGTATGTAACATTTAAATACACTGTTACTGTTAATATCGCATTAATTAAATTCACAGTTACATTTACATTTATTTATTTATATTTATACTTGTTTTCTGCATTGAATGGTTGGCTTAGTTTTTTTTTACATACACATTTAATAGAAATTCACAACTTTAAATGTTAAACGCTTATGCTAAATGTTAACATATCTATGTGATCACACATACATACATACAATTACATATGTTGTGTGTGTATTCAACTATAAGCTAATATTGAAAGCTATTTTTCTTTCTTTCTTTTTCTGATTCATTCTCCGATTGGTTCATTTCGGGCAGTGTCTAGCAAAAATTTTAATTGCATGCCATAAACTAATTATACAATATTTTTCAAAAATTCCAAAGACCGATGGTAGGTACATATATTAACCATCTAAATGACTATATGACCCCCATAAACTGGGGTTTCCCCACCTGCTAGGTCGAGTTATGTAAAAAAGTACCTTAATTTATGGTTACATATTATTTGGAACAATGGCGTTATGGACACCTGGTTGCCATAAAACCCGGATTTTTTTCGTCAGGTTGATTATTTTCGGTATAAATAGACCTATCCTTCGTAGTCAGTTTAGTTATATTCTGCATCTCGGGTGCCACCAGCCAACAAGGACTATGGACAAACGGACTACCATTGAGCAACGGAATCTCATCCTGGAACACTTCAAGATTGGATATTCGCATCGTCAAATAGCTAAAATGGTAAATCTAAGCACCACAACTGTATTCAACATCATTCGGCGCTTCGTCGACGAAAATCGGATAGAGGACAGGGGCAAAAATGCACCAAACAAGACTTTCACCGAACAGGAGGAGCTAAGGATCATCAGGAAAATAAGGGAAAATCACAAGCTATCGGATCCAAAACTGACTCAACAGGTGCAGGATGAAATGGGGCAAAAGTGCAGTATGGAAACTGTGCGCCGGGTTCTGCGCAACCATGACTTTAATGCCCGAGTACCACGGAAGGATGACATTCGTCAAAACCCACTTGGACAAGAATTTGGAGTTCTGGAACACATTCATATTTGAAGATGAGTCCAAATTCAACATTTTTGGTTCAGATGGATAGAATTATGTGTGGCGACAGTCCAATACTGAGCTGAGTCCCAAAATCCTGGAAAATAACATCCGGAATCACAGATTCGATCTCAAGAATGCTCTGCTGGATGAGTGGAGCAAAATCAGTCCAGAAACGACCCGGAAGCTGGCTTCTTCCATGAATAATAGGTTAAGGGAAGTTATTAAGGCTAAAGGATATCATACTAAGTATTAACATCCTTATTTAAGTTTTAATACGCCAAATATGTTACTTTTCTAAGACTGTCCGAAATAAATTTTGATATGTAGTTTGGATATGTTTTCAGTTTTTGACTAATTTTAGTTAATTCATTAATATTTTAATAATAACTTAAGTTTCGTATTCAAACGTGATATAACATAAAACAAATTGGCATTTAAACATTTTGCGTTTGTTTCTTTGTTTAAACTTTATAGCACTTTAAAATTTTTGCTAGACACTGCCCGAAATGAACTGAGAGACACTGTATGTATGTATATATATATATTTTATATATTATATATATGTATATTGTATGCATATATTGTAGCAGCATAAAAGCATCTTAACGTTTTAAAATTGAAGCTATTGTTAAAGAAATAAAACTGAGCTTTTCGGTTCTAGCATTAATGGAAATGTGTACAAAATTAATAGGACCATTTTGAAATTGTTTAAAAACTGGAGAAAGACTTAAAAGAAAAAAAAAAAATTCAAATTAAATAAATTAAATTCAATGAAACCCAAAACACAATGTGGTATGGTATTTGCTGCTGGGGACATTCTAAAAAGAGCACAGCTCTCGTCATCGTCTTCAGGCAATTCCCAGTAATCGATAACAATAATCGGTTTAAAAATAAAAACCGCCCAAATTGAATTAAAAAACTGTGTTTTTCTCTTGTCAACATGTTTTTTGTTTCTTGTTTTTTATTAAACCGTATTTGATTTGATATTTTCATTTAAATGTCCTACATTTATTTTTTGTATTTACCAATTTAATGTTTCTTTGATTTTCTTATGTGAATGCTTGATTTTTTCTTGTTTACTATGCATATAATATAACTACTATCTGTAATAAGTGTGGGTGTAAATAAATAAAAAATATCACAAATAAATAAATTGCTGATCTTCACATACATATTATATGTATAACATTCATATCTAATTTTTACTTTGTTGTTTTACGTTATGGCTTGGCTGTAATTAAAAGTTCACATTTCACCTTAAACTTGAGCTGAGAACGATCGACCGTTATGTTAGCACTCACCTTAGCCTACGTTATTGCGTTACGTAACATTAGCGGCAGCTTAACATTAACATATTGTTAGCATTGCACTTGGGTATTTATCCATCATTTATAGTATATATATGTATGTATAAATACATTAATTATATTAATATCGACATCAAGCTAAGTTAATTTCATACGCAGATTTAAAATCACATTTAAGTCTACTTAAATTATTATTAATGTTAATATGAATATAGCTTTATTGCCTGTAGTGAATGCAAAAGATTTGTTTGGACGCTGTTTTTTGGCCATAAATGTTAAATGCGCTTACGTAGGAAGATTGCGTAGTTGAGTCTTGTATGTATATAAATATTTAAATCATATATATAAATAAACATTTAAATAAATATATACACATACAAATATATTTCTGAGTAGGTTTAGACAAATTACTTTTAGTATTAAAAAAAAATAACTGCATAATTGTTTTCTGTATTTTCCATTATTTAGAAATGGCTGTGCGACTTCTGAGGATCTATTTTGGAAATTGGACGCATTGCAATCGTTTATACGCGATTTACACTGGCCAGATGCGGAATTTCGTCAGCATTTGGAGCAACGGCTGAAAATGATGGCCGTTGATATGATTGAGCAGTGTATACAGCGAACGGATGCATCGTTTCAATCGTGGTTGAAGAAAAATGTTGCCTTCATATCGACCGATTATATAATACCGTCAGAGATGTGCGCCATGGTAAATGTGATATTAGATGCTAAAAATCAAAGCTTTAAATTAACTACCATTGATGGTATTGATCTGGTAAGTGCAGCGATTATTGATGATTGAATGATGACCGATTAATTAATCTATTTATTTATTGTAGTACAAATTTCATGCGAAAATTGATGATCAAATTGACAAAGCGAATGTGGCGATGACACAAGGCCTCAGTGGCAAACTTATGTCAGTGCTGGAGTCGACTTTGTCAAAATAGGCCCGTTACGATGAAGGTAGCCTAATTGGCTCCATTCTTAGCTTTACGAATGTGTCCAGTTCCGGCAAGGATCTCGGCCAGGGCTATGTGAATTTCTTTCGCAATAACATGGATCAGATTCGCGGCAAAATCGGTGATGATCTCTGGACCCTCAACTTCTTCGAGCAATGGTATTGCCAGCAAATCGCCTTGCTCTCTACGTGGCTCTCGGAGCGTATGGATCATGCCCTACACTACGCCCAGGTCACCTCCATCTCTCACATCATAAAGGTAAGAGAGAAGTTTAAAATATATATATATATAAATAAGGAAAAAAAGCAAAAAAACTAAAAAAATAACGTTTCGATAAAACGGGCTTATTTCTTATCTTGTGAATCATATGCCCAATAATTTGCATATTTATATTTATATATTAATTTTTAAACATATATTATTTATATAAATTTGAAGTCAATTACAGGTTAATTTATGTATATTTAATGTATATTTATTATTATTCATATCAATTAGAATACACTGCCTTTAGAATGATGGTTTTGATTTTATATTCCGAAAAACAGAAAATCTACTCGGACTTTGAGCTGCAGGGTGTGCTCGAGGACAAATTGAATTCAAAATCATATCAGACAGTTATACAACGAATGACTGCTGAGGAGGCGACTTGTGCCCTGACAATGCCCGACGTAGCCGATGGCGATGAGTAAATATAATTCTAATTTTTGCTAGGAATTTATTTAACACATTGAAGGTTCTCGTGTAGAAACGGAACGATGTACGCAATGGGGATGAGGAGGATGCGGGAGATGAGGCTGGTGGTGCTGGTGGATCCTCATCGCGTGGTGGCATGCCAAAGGCTAAGATAGGTGCCTCGCAGGCGGCAGCTGTTACCAATGTGGTAGCTGGGCGTGTTGGTAATTTACTGGGCAAGGGCATTGGTGGACTTAGCTCGAAGCTGGGAAGCGGCGGTTGGTTCTAAATTTAAGTTCATATCCAGCTTTATCTCTCATTTTCACTTCCCAGCTTAATTTGAGCCAAAACACCAACAAAAAAAAAAAATAATAATAATAATAATATAAACAAGAATATATGTAAAGAGCATTACTATATATAAGTTAACATCCATTCTTACGAATATCCGGAACCAATGCATTCGAATAAATAAGTCAGCACTTTTAATATTACAAATAACTAAAGCCAATGCACTTGAATAAACAAGTCAGCAACATCTAATATTACAAGCAACCCAAGCCAATGCACTTGAATGAATGTCACAACATACGCGCCCATTCAACATTACAAATAACCCAAGTCAATGCACTTGAAAGAATATCATAAAGTACGCGCCCATTCATTATTACGAACAACCTAAACCAATGCACTTGAATGAATGTCACAAAATACGCGCGCCTCGTCAGCATACTTTCGGCAACGCGGAACTCACACGTAAATATGCTGAGCCTACGATCACAGCTAAGGCGCATGGAGAAATACGACACGTACCTCTTCAGCGCATTCCACTTGAAGACCACCACGGGACCCAGAATGGACAACTGACACCAGCAGCGACTAAGCAGAATCGATAGCCAGAGGTTTCATTAGGATAAGCTAGAGTTTATAAAATCAGTCTGAATAAAGCATCCGAACAGAACAAGCTGGTTTTTTTTCATTAAAAACCGTAAAGACTCGTTTAATTGGCGCCCGAGCAGGGACCGGTACGGATGTAAAAGTCATCGTGAGTTAGTGAAAGTGATTTAATCACTGCACAAATACAAACATAACGTCGCGAAACCGGACAGTGTCGAAAAATGCCAAGTTCTATCAAAAGCGCCTCAAGTAGCCGCAGATACGAACAAAATCAGGGCAAGTGGTATCAAAAGCGCCTCAAGTAGCCGCAGATATGAACAAGACCAGTGACAGTTCTATCAAAAGCGACTCAAGTAGCCGCAGATACGAACAAGACGGGTTGATCAAAAGCGCCTCAAGCAGCCGCAGATCTAAACCCAAAAAGGTTTCAAAATACATCCGTACCGGTGCCACAATAATACCGCCGACAACCCTGTAGTGTCCGTCCGCAGGGTACCGTGAAAGAAGTATCTGGAGGAACCCAAGTCACCCGTCTCGACTCGTAAGCGTCGCGGGACAAAAAGGATCAATTCCAAGGGATCATCGCGGGAGATTCGCCGGAATGTTAACTATCTTGTAAGCATAGTAAATAAGAACAATTTTTAAGATTCAAGAAAAAAATTAATTTGGATTCGGAAAAGAGAAAAAAATAAAATAAGAATTAAGTTTTGAAAAATTACAACAAAAGAAAACAAAAGAGAGAATTTAAAAATTACCAAGATTCAAAAAAGAAAAATTTAAACTCTGAAAAGTAATAACTAAAAAAAATAAGAGAATTGAAAAATTAGATAAAAAATTAAGATCCAAAAAAGAAAAAATTTAAACTCTGAAAAATAATAACTAAAAAAAATAAGCGAACTGAAAAATTAGATAAAAAAATTAAGATTCAGAAAAGAAAAAAGTAAAAATTAAGGAAACAAAAGAGAGAAAAAATATCAAATAAGAAAATAAGGATTCAAGGATACAAAAATTAACAAAAGAGAAAACTAAATAAGTTAATTAAGACTCACAAACTTTTAAACAAAGAATAACAATAATTCTTAAGATTCAGTGCATCATAGATTAAGTAACAAGTTTCAAAAAATCATTCTTAATAACTAAATAACTGCCCAAAAAAATTATCAATTCAAAAATTAAAAAAAAAGTGGTCCGAATATAAAATCACCTGAATTCGTTAAAGACAACATTACAAAATGCAGTCAAACGAATTGTCCGAATCTCTAGCTAATTTGAAGCTGGGAGCATCCAGTACCAGCTCCCAAAGAAATACTCAGGTAGGCAACGCAGCCTATGTCAGCCAAAATCTAAAAGACACCCTTGTAACACTGATAAAAGAAACACTCCATGGAGGCGATATAATAAGACAGGCATTAAATACCGAAGCTAGCGACTGTCTTACTGATATTCCATTTACCAGTCCGAGACTAGGCGAAGAACAAGAAAAGGTTCCAGAAATAACGCGGTTGATTAGAGATTTTTCTGGAGACCGAACTGCATTTAGCTCCTGGAAAAAGAACGTTGACAGAATAATGAACATTTACGTTGGACAAGAGGAAACCTACAAGTACTACCTAATAACTCTATCAGTCCGTAACAAAATAATAGGAGAAGCCGACGCAGTGCTCGAGTCCTATAACATACCCATGAACTGGAAAGCAATTTCCAGGTGTCTTACAGAACATTACGCCGATAAAAGAGACTTAAAAACTCTCGAATACCAAATGTTCTACCTAACTCAGGGACGTCTGTCCGTGCAAGAATTTTACCAGAAGGTATATCACCAACTATCACTCATCCTTAACCAGATAAGTGTACAAGAAGACGCACCGGAGGTAGTTAGGGCCTTGACGAATAATTATCGGGGTAAAGCCCTCGATACGTTCGTAAGAGGTCTAAATGGAGATCTACCTAGACTCCTGGCAATCAAAGAGCCAAGGGACCTGAGTCACGCTTTGCATCTGTGCGACTTGGTGGAGAACCAAGAACATAGAAATACCTTTTTCCCCAAACCAAGACAACAAACACCACCTCTGCCGCCCAGAAATCATACTCCACTACATAGATTGTCCCAAACCAATAACCCTGTACAATGGAGGAATTTCAACCCAAATTTATACCAAATTCCCAAATCGAATATGAATCATCAGATGTTACAGCAACGTAACCATTACTCTCAACCATTCCGTGGCCAATACACACTGCCGCCACAAGCCTTCAACCCTGGACAGGGGTACCAAGCGCCTCCGCGCCCTGCTTTCACAAAACCAGAACCAAAACCCGTACCAATGGAAATAGATAACTCCATTAGAACAAGAAATGTCAATTACATGAATAAGCCAAGGACCAATGATTTCACTGGAAAGCACCCTAGCAACGCACCCAGTGGACAACCTCCTAAAATGCAACGTCAGTTCCATATCTCAACCGGACAATCAGAAGGAGGGGAGGAACGACCAAACTCCTACGGCATGAAGGAAGAGGAACAAGTCTATCTCGAAAATGACGGACCAGAAAGAGGTTACGCCCTAACCGAGGAGGAGGAAAATGGAGCTTACTATGAATGTCAAACAACAACGGTCGACGCTTCCGATATCCATTTTTTAGACTAAGCAGTTCCTCTCTGCCCTATTTCCAGTGCATAACGAGGAACGGCCACCCATTGAATTTTCTTATAGATACAGGCTCAAATCAAAACTATATTCAACCAAATTTAGTTCCAAACCCAAAACTCAATCAGAGAACATTTAACGCAATGTCCATCGGCGGACAAACCAGAATATCCCACCACACCTTCCTTAACTTATTCGGCCAAAGAAATAGACCAATCAAATTCTTCTTGCTACCAACCTTAAAAACCTTCCATGGTATCTTAGGTAATGATACCATGAAACAGCTGAACGCTGTCATCGACGTCAAGAACGAAGTGTTGATTATTGACGGAAATTACAAGATTAAAATAAAACAACTAGAAACGCAGGCAGTAAATAATATAAAAATAAGGACAGAACACATGACAATCAAACAGAAGAATTTTATAGATCACGTCACCAAGACCCGAACAACCCTGTTCGCAGAACCAGACGAGAAACTGACCTACACCACACGAGTGTTAGGCGAAATAAGAACCACATCAGATTCTCCAGTATACAGCAAGCATTATCAATACCCCACTTCGCTAAAAGGAGAAGTCAAAAAACACATAAACCAGTTGCTGCAAGACGGCATAATAAGACCTTCACGGTCACCATGTGTGGATAGTGCCAAAAAAGAGCGACGCCTCAGGAGAAAAAAAGTTTCGAATGGTCATCGACTATAGGAAACTTAACTCGGTAACAATTTCGGATCGATACCGAATCCCTGAAATTGGAGAAATTATCGCACAATTGGGCGATAACAAGTATTTCTCCGTGCTAGATTTGAAGAGCGGATTCCATCAAATCCCCCTCAAAGCAAAAGACATAGAAAAGACTGCATTCGCAGTTAACGGCGGAAAATACGAATTCACCAGACTTCCGTTTGGACTAAAAAATTCTCCATCAATATTCCAACGACATTTGTTACGTCTACATCGACGATATTATTGTCTTTAGCAAGTCGGAAGACGAACATATCAATCATTTAAATACGGTCTTCACGACCCTAGATAATGCAAACATGAAAATCCAAATCGACAAATGCGAATTTTTCAAGACCGAAGTCGATTTCCTGGGTTTCACTATTTCTGCGGATGGAGTAAAAACCAATCGCGAAAAAGTGAAAGTTATCAAAAGCTTTCCAACACCCAAAACCCTCAAAGACTTACGTTCTTTCCTGGGTTTATCAAGCTATTACAGGAGATTCATTCGGGACTACGTCAAATTGGCTAAACCCCTCACTACACTCCTAAGAGGAGAAAACGGTAGACTTTCAAAGAGGCTCTCACATAAAACAGAAATAACACTTGACAGCAATGCAATCAAAGCATTGGAAAAAATCAAGGGCACGCTCAGCTCAAACGATGTAGTACTAGCGTACCCCAACTTTAACAAAGAGTTTCACTTGACAACTGACGCATCAAATTTCGCCATCGGAGCAGTCTTGGAGCAAGACCCATTACTTACATATCCCGTACACTCTCGAAAACAGAAGAAAATTACGCGACTAACGAAAAGGAAATGCTAGCTATTGTGTGGGCACTCCAGAATCTGCGCATGTACCTCTATGGTACATCAAAGGTAATAATTTTCACAGACCATCAGCCCCTAACCTTCGCACTGAGCAGCAAAAATCATAACGGAAAACTAAAAAGATGGAAATATTACATCGAAGAGTACAACCACGAACTAAGATATAAGCCAGGAACTTCTAACGTTGTCGCAGACGCTTTATCTAGAAATCCCCCAAAATCCGAAATAAACAGTACAACAACGTAACCAATTTTGGTAGTTACAAGTTAGGTACACCCAGAAACAAATTCAGGACGTTACATTCGAAAGCGAACAATTAGAAATCATAACAAAAGAACACACTAGAGCCCATAGAAATGCAACAGAGAATAAAAACCAAACACTTAACAATTCCTTCTTTCGTAACCTAAAGAAGAAAATTGAAAAATAACAAAGGCCTGCGAAACTTGCAAAGAATGCAAGTACGACAAGCATCCTCAAAAAGGAGAACTGCAACCAACTCCTATTCCGACTTATCCAGTCAAATTATCCATATCGATCTATATACGACAGAAAGAACTATTGTTCTCACTGCCGTAGATAAATTCTCAAAGTATGCACAAATTAAAATTTTAGTTTCAAAAACAGATGAGCAAGTAGAAAATAACAATAAACAACTAATAATAAATAAAATTCTAAGCGAAAGAATGAATGAGCTAACTGAAAACACAAATAAAATTGTAAAAGACACCATAGGCAATACGAATTTTCAAAACGAAATAGCTACATTACTGAAATACAAAATACAAATTTTCAAAGAGGAATTAAATAATTTAATATACGCCATTCATTGGGCAAAAACTAACACAATATACTCAAT